AGCTCCTCGATTGTCATGTTCTCCTGATACTTTTACAAAAATTTCGAATTTTTCACTTTCAGTGAAAATTTCAGTGAAGAGCTCCTCGATTGTCATGTTATCCTGATACTTTTGCAAAAATTTCGAATTTTTCACTTTCAGTGAAAATTTCAGTGAATAGCTCCTCGATTGTCATGTTCTCCTGATACTTTTTCAAAAATTTCGAATTTTTCACTTTCAGTGAAAATTTCAGTGAATAGCTCCTCGATTGTCATGTTACCCTGATACTTTTTCAAAAATTTCGAATTTTTCAATTGCAGTGAATACCTACCTACAGAAAAAATTGGAATTATTTAAAAAAAAAAAATGAATGACGGCGGGATCGAACCCGGGCCGTCGGCGTGCTAGTCGAGCACGTTACCACTAGGATAACGCACTATTGCAATTTTATAATTTCATTAGGAGTATATATTTTGCAAAAGTATCGTTTTAAAAAATTTCTAATTTTTCAATTTCACTGGATATCTTCTCGATTTTCAAAAATTCAGTTTTTAAACGATATTTCCATTGATTAGCCATTAACAAAAAATAAAAATTAGAATTATTTTGAAAAAAAAAAATTAATGATGCTGGTATCGAACCCGAGCGGTTCGCGTGCCAGTCAAGCGCGTTACCAACTAGACAACTCGCATATTATAAAAATATTATTTCATTAGTGGTATATCTTCAATACATTGAATTTTTTTTTCCATTGAAATTCCACAAGATGTGGTTTCCCCCTTCCGCACGTTCTACAGTCGGCTAAATTTCAGTTAAACAATTGAAAAACAAAAAGCATTCATACCGCAGAAAATAAAATTCACCCCGTCGACTTGATGAACACCCCAGCATTGCAATAAAAACTTGGTTAATAAAAAAAAAACACCCCAGCATTGCGTGTGGCGCCCTCCCTCTCTTGGGGTGCAGTACTACGATGCTACTGGGGTCGCTCAAACCCCCAGAACTGAGCCTCTACTTCAGTCAATCCTCTTTGCATCTCCCCTACAATCTCTCTTCTCTGGGTTCCCTGTGACATCGTCGGCAGTCGATCGGATAGTCCAGAGTATTCACTGAATTGCGGCTTACCTTTTACGGTAATCCCACCAAAACGATTAAAAAAAAATCAACGATCGCGATCAGTGAGTGTTGTAATGCTGTACCTGTGAAGAATCTATCCTCCTGATTATCAAAAGTAAGGAATTGCAATTGTCTTCGATTATTCAATGCAATTGAGTCTTCTCGCCAGGTGTTAACGATAAAGTGACGTCGATGATTTTGGGGTGCGCTAAGGAGTGAAACGAAAATAACCATGACGACATTTCTCCCTCTTCCCATTCATCATTAGTAATAATACTGTATCGAATATGTCGAGGTGCATCATCAATCGTCGTGTCTGATTCACGCCAAACAGAAACGACTTTTTTTGCCATTGTCATCGGATCGGACCATTAATGGACACAAGCTTTTTTTTGTGATTGTCATACGAAACTTGGAACGGTGTTTGGTAACACCGAGGGCGTCGGAAAGAAGCGTGGGTGAGCTGGTTCTCGACCGCACCTAGTGCACTTCTCGTCCATTCAAAATTCGAAATTATTCGTCAATATTATCCTCCACAACTTTCACCAAGATCCCTCCAAAAAACCATCTGCACACGTTTCCGTTACACTTTATTACATTTTTTCCTTCGGACATTGTTTTGCTCGTTATCTGACATTTCATTTCCTTTGTTTATTATCGGGTCAACCCTCATGAGAACCAAAACATCCGTTTTTTTTTTTCTAAACTACGACTTGGGGGTTGAATACGAGGATTTTTATTATTAAAGCTGTGAAATCTGTAAAGTAGCCGAAGTAATTCAGTGAGTGAATACAAGACCAAAATAGTTGGGAGGCATTCGAATTTTTATTTATCATCATTCAGTTTGTTCTAAGAATGAGAGCCGAGAAGTTCGAGGATAAGAAACATCTCAGTTGATAAGGGGAAAATTCTTCTTGATAAAACTTGCTTATATATGATGTACAAGGAAAGTTGAATCAGTGGGTGCCAAGAAAACTGAGTCAGTAATTTAATAATAGCAGGCAGAGTCAATAGCAGAGGCTGCAAAGCCTCCCAAACATCGCATATACGTGAAACGCGTCCCCAATTCTACAATGAGACAATATTTTTAGATAATAATATTCCAATTTCTGACACTGCTCTCCCAAAAAATTAATCATTTGCCTTTCAGGGACTATGGGCAGCTTACCGATCTCCCTGGCGATATCCCTGGTGATATGCGCCCTTGGAGTTGCCAGCGATTACTCCAGCTCGGAGTCATCAGGATCCAATCCATGTTTTAGTAAATTAAAATGTCATGAGTGCATACGGACCTCCACGTGCGCTTGGTGTGCACAACCAGTAAGTCGTCCTTTATTGCTGTGATAGCAAATTAATTTTAGAAATTACACATTCCCCATTATTTTTGTATTTCTCATTGACCCAGAATTTCGCGGAGAACCGTTGCTTCCGGCCGAACCAGAATCCGAAGATCCTCGAGGCTTGCAGCGAGGAGTTCACGATAAACCCGGACAACGTCTTCAGCATGATCCGGTACAAGAACCTGACAAAAGGTGGTTTTATAACGAGTGGAGGTTCGATGAGCGGTGGTTCAATCTCAGAATCCGGCTCCTGGTCTTCCTCTTCCTCTTCCTCTTCCTCTTCCTCTTCCTCCTCATCTTCCTCATCCTCATCCTCATCTTCGAAACAAGAAGCAGTGCAGCTCTGGCCCCAAGAAGTAAACCTAAAACTGCGTATAAACGAAGCCTACAGAATGACTTTCTCATACTCTCAAGCGGAGGATTACCCAGTGGACCTCTACTACTTGATGGACCTCTCAAAATCCATGGAGGACGATCAGAAGAAGCTTTCCGCGCTGGGGCAGCTGTTGGTCTCGGAAATGAGTAAAATAACGAGCAACTTTCGTCTGGGCTTTGGAAGTTTCGTGGACAAAGTGGTGATGCCCTACGTGAACACAATGCCCAAGTCGTTGCTAGCCCCCTGCAAGGATTGTGCAGCGCCCTATGGTTATAGGAATGTGATGACCCTCTCCACAGACACAAGTGCCTTCGCGAGCCTCGTGAGCAACGCCGAGGTGTCAGGGAATCTGGACGCACCAGAAGGCGGTTTCGATGCGATAATGCAGGCAATCGTTTGCAGAAGAGAAATTGGTTGGAGAGAGAAGGCCAGAAGACTCCTTGTGTTCTCCACTGATGCTGGTTTTCACTACGCAGGTGATGGCAAGCTAGGTGGCATCATAAAACCGAACGACGGTGAGTGCCACCTTGATCGCACTGGCCTATACACCCACTCCTCCCTCCAGGACTATCCCAGCATCTCTCAGATAAATCTCAAGGTCAAGCAAAACGCCATCAACATCATTTGGGCAGTCACAGAGGAACAGATAGGAATCTACAAAAGACTCACAAAACACGTCGAAGGCTCGTTCGCTGGAAAACTTTTAAACGACTCCAGTAATATCGTATCGTTGATTCGAGAGCAGTACGACAAGATCTCGAGCTCTGTAGAGATGAAAGACACTGCGAGCAGTATGATAAAAGTGAGGTATTACTCCAAGTGCCTCGGAGGGCCTGAGATTGAGACTTCCAAGTGCGATGGCCTCAAGGTTGGCAACGTCGTGCAATTCACTGCAGTGATTGAGGTGGTGGCCTGTCCAGCCAATAGGACCCAGTGGAAGCAGACGTTTGAGATTTATCCAGTGGGTATCAACGAAACACTTACAGTCAACCTGGAGATGATTTGTGACTGTGAGTGCGAGCATTCAGGAGCCATGTACCAGCCACAATCACCATCGTGCAATGGAAGGGGTACCCTCGCCTGCGGCATTTGTGATTGCGATGATGGAGTGTTTGGGAATGCTTGTCAGTGCTCGAAGCACGATAATACTCCTCATTACGTCAACGAAACGAATGCCTGCAGACCTGATGATTCCAAGCCTGATTGCTCGGGTAGGGGTGACTGCGAGTGTGGCCAGTGCATTTGTCACAGACGAGGTGACTCTGGGGAGGTTTTCTCAGGTCGTTATTGCGAGTGTGATAATTTCTCTTGCGAGAGGAACAAGGGAATTCTCTGTTCTGGCCATGGCAGGTGTGAATGTGGCAATTGTGCCTGCGATCCTGGATGGGAGGGCGACAGCTGCAGCTGCAAGACTTCCAAGGAGACGTGCATGGCACCAAATTCTGGAAAGTATTGCTCTGATCATGGGGATTGCATTTGCGGTGAGTGCAAGTGTCATCAGGAGGGGGATATCAGGTACTCTGGCAAGTACTGCAACAAATGCCCCTCGTGTGCCAGCTTGTGCGAGGAGCTCAGACCCTGTGTTCAGTGTGTCGTCCATGAGACTGGAAATATGACGAAGGAGGAGTGTTACAACGTGTGCAATATCACCAAGGGGTACAAGAATATTTATGGGGTTGAGACCGTGCAGATTGATATTGATAAGGACGAGGAGGCCTGCATGTTCGTCGATGAACAGGACTGTAAGAACCATTTCAAGTATTATTATAATGAGGAGAATTGTTTGATTATTGAGGCGCAAAAGGAGAGGGAGTGCCCTCCCACTATTTTTGTCCCTGGCATTATTCTTGGGGTGATTGCTGCCATTGTTTTCATTGGTCTGGCTTTTCTGCTGCTATGGAAAATGGTTACTACTATTCATGATAGGAGGGAGTTCGCCAAGTTTGAGAAGGAGAGGATGATGGCCAAGTGGGACACGGGGGAGAATCCAATTTACAAGCAAGCCACATCGACATTTAAAAATCCTACCTACGCTGGTAAATGAAGAATGAGTGAGTCTATTAAATAATGAATCTAAGATGAACAATTGGATTATTATCCAGTTCGAGTGAAAAATGTTTTACTCTGTGACGAGTCTCTATGCGAATGTTAGTCTTGTATTACGAAAAGAAACGAAACAAAAATACTATTTAAATATTAAAATGATTAATCTAACTAACGTAATTAATAGGGGCAATGAATTTTTATTTTTACGTTTATTATTGTACTGCCATATTACTTAGACTGCGGTTAAGTCTATGGGGTATGAGAGCCAGATCGGAAGAAATAGATTTCTTTGTCAGGGCACAGGATATTTGGTTCTCACTTAATTATTAGTTATTTAATCTCTCTTAATTGTTAAGACAGCTCTTCGATTATTTTGTGCCGTGACTCTTCTCGTTTTATTGAACAGGAAGTGCCTTCTACGATACACTAGGTAATTGTTAATCATATTGAGTGATTTTTTAAAAGGATTATTCGCACATGGTTTTGAGAATATTGCGATGACCCAACAACCGCATTTTTCTCGTATTGTTCATCAGCATTTGACTGATCAATAACAAATAACTGTGCAATCCAAATTATATCTTCCGAAATAATGTATTCTAGGGATAACTATCATGCAACTTCCAAATTCATCGTCATTATTTAGAATTAATTGTATTTTTCAAAGAAACATCATCAAAACATGCATTTTATGGCGTTTTAATTTTATACTCTACAAACTCTTAACTATTTGTCTTTTTTTACTGAACAATTGTCCAATCGATGCCAATATTTGTCAATTGACCCCGAGACTTTGAAAAATGATGTCCGTATTACGATATCTACAACTTGTTGATTGTAAATGAAAACCCAAGAGAGTGCGATCAAAAATTCATTGCGAAATAGTGCGTGAATTCTGGCAACTCCCGCATAATTTGATCTCTCGATGGAGATTACGTGGAAAAATATATTTATATTAACAGTACACAAATTGCTTATATTTATTTCATCCATGTAAAATGAATTTTCAAAGGCAGGAAATGGAACGAAAAATAGCGGAGATTTTTTTTTCAATTCTTTTATTGACATGGGAGATGTTACATGGACGTATGATGGAATGCACGTTATTAAAGATCGACAATACCTCGTCAACTAAATTCAATAAAAAAAAATGAATAGAGTCATCTCAGAACTCTAACAACGCAGGGTAAAAATGATGTCATGCCATTTATGATGTACAGTCCCTTTGACTTGAATAATTTTTTAATACAAAATTCTATAGTCACCTAACTGTCCTCGTATCTCGGTAGAAAACAACAGAAAGTGTCAACCATACTAATAAAAATGGTGCAACTGTCCCCTGTGTTTTCAGGGAGGGAACAAAAAATGTTTCTCTCTTATTCTATCGGTGTACATATTTTTAAGATCATTACAACCATTCGTATCAACATGAATAGCATCGTTCGCCAATTTGTCTCGATAACTTCATGAATTAAAATAATACCGATCATATAAATTGTCTATTACCTATTGCTCCAGACAAATAATTCGTTCCAATGAATGATTATTCCTCCCGAGTTGAATCACAATGAATGAAAATTAATGACAAATCGAACACAGGCAGTTTCATCTACTATTTCATACAAAATATCGCTTGAGTACCGTTTTACCATTTTTATTTCTTCTTATTTAGCATAAAATGCAGACATGGATAGCATTGAGATATTCCATTGCAAAAGTTCACTCTCCTCAATGACTAATTGGCAACGACTCTAATTATCTCATAAATTTATTGTTCTGAACTTTGATTAACCGTTCAAAGAAGGAATTTTTACAACGCAACACTCAAGGGAAGCCTTAAAATTATAGAAAATAAATGTCATAAGTAACTAACGTATCGAATTCAAATAAATACTGGAAGTTTACGCGGAGTAGCTTTTATCTAGACTGAGATTCCAGATGATTTTCGGGGGGTTGACTGGGTAAATATTTACTAGTCAATTATTCTATGCGTCTTCATATCATAGAAAAATACACGAAATAATTCGCCGATTGACCTCAATAACTCTCGCGTCCAATGAGTTTTCTTCGAGCCCATTTTTTTCTTTTTCTCTAGCATCTCCTATACACAAAACAAAAAAAATAAATCAAAGAAAAAAAACCCATCGCAACTCAACGTAAATCTACGTGTCATTTGGTGCGAATCAATGATAGATACATATGCAATAATTCTAATATAATAGCTGCTCTCGTGTCACTTTCTCTCGAAAATCTAACACTAACTCATATAATATATTCTATATATATTCAATGATTCAATATATTAAATAGTCCTTTATTATTAATTATTCTACTCTAGTAATGGCGTGCCAAAGTAAATAATCAAGAAAATTAAATAGTAATAGTAAATGGATAATCGACGTAAGCGTGTTCTCACAGAAAAAGCAACACCCAGCGACACTCAGTTAACGAATGAATATTAATTTGCTGTTGCTCTCTCTTTCTCTGATCAATATTAAAAGTCTTGTATTACTCCAATCGCGAGATTTTTATAAAAAAAGTAAAGAAAACATTACGCCATGACTTGCGGATCGAACCAGCGACGTGTATTCTCGGCAATTTGTCATTAATTTATTTCTGAATTTCTGGGACACGTCACAGCTTTCGTCCTCGTCCAGTTGAAAATTCGTATTAATTATTACAAATTCAATATTAATAGCAGTTAATAGAATCTTTAGTGTATTAAATTTTTTATATTTATCCCGAGCACTTCAATTACGACATTGACCATTTCGCCTCACCAATAGTCGAACAGAATAGAGGAAATAATTTAACTTCAGTCGAGGAGCCAGACTGCCAAGCCAACTCATTTTTTTAACTTTCATAGTCAATAGGAAAAACGTAACGCGTGTTACCCTGTTTAAGCTAATTAATCTAGGCCGAATAAAATCGAAAAAATCGGTTTGAAATAATTAATGCACAAGCATACAGCCTTAATTATCCATTCCAATCAGGTAAATACGATATTTTTCATGACTGGAATGAGTGATTAATCTGGACGATGATTATAATTTTAAGGCTTCGAAAAAAAGCATCCGGTGATGCGATAATATTCTCTAATACGACTTTAGCTCTCACGAATTATTCTCCCTCTGTAAATAGCCCACTAAGAAAAAAACATCTAATGCCTTTGGGTTTTATAACTAACGAAATTAAATTTTGTGGGTAAATGGTGGATGGACTATCGTTACGATTGTTAATGAAAAATAAACAGTCAATAAACTGTTGTTTTTCGTTAGACAAAATATCTGTTGAGTCGTTGATGAACGATATGTCGTGACAATTTCGAGTTTATAATAGTCTTGAATCATTTTCTCTCGTAAATCGTGAGATTCTGAATTTCAGTCAATTTGGTGATCAAACGTATAAAACCCGAAAATAAAGGAAAAATTCTAATTGGCAGTAAGAAGTGGACATTGCGCCCGGCGCAAGGTGTAGTATTTTTTAATAATTAGCTGCAGTATCGGCAGGTAAGAATGCTTCCCATTCTTGGGCATGAACTCGCGTTGAAGTCTTGGACTTCAACTCACTGGGTTTTTAGTATTTTTTTTTTGTCATTCATTAGACGTACGTCGCCATCGTACCAGCTTGGAGAGATGGAGTTCCATCGGGGCGATTCTTTGGTCCGTACTGCCCGATAAATGATCCATCTTCCGTGAAACGCCCTGTGGAGGTAATGTTTTATCCAAAAATTACAATTATCCTCGATTTTCCATTTGGAAACGTCTAAACTTCTCGATTTCCCATCAATTCACTCCTCCAATCACTCATTATTCAATATCCAATCATTCGATAATTATTCCCATGAGACATGATGAAATGAAAAAAATGAATAAAATGCAACACGTCGATTTTTTAGAAGATCATTCAAAAAAATTTCCTGTCCCTCAAATTTCGAGATATTCATTAAAACCCGATGGATACTGAAAATTCACTTGAATAATTCAACGGCTGATTTTATTAACTCGGCAACTTTACTCTCGTAATTTATAGGAACTGGAGTCTGATCTCCAGAATTTTATTTTCCTTGTCACCTACCTCAAACCAACGTAGCGAATGCCTGAGAATTGGGCTCCGGCTTCTTCTGCCTCCCGTACTGACCAATGAACGATCCATCTTCATTCATGCCCTCTGTTACATTACAACGTAACGAAAAAAAAAACAAAAACGTAAACAAAAACAATAACGGATGAATAAAAATGAGATGATATCCACAAGTATACGTCATTGACCTGCGCTCTTAAAAAAAAAATCGAAATCCAAGAGAATAGCTTGGAGATAGGGCAGGTACTGCCTTTTAGATTTTTTCTGCGCGTGTCATGACGTCATAGCGAATACAATGATAATACAATGATAAAAGGGATGATGATGAGTGTAAACCAAAGAACAAGGGTGATACGTTATCTGAGACAATCTCTAGACTAAGTGCGTGGGGCTTCTGCACTATTTAAAAAAAAAAAACCTACCCCAGAAAGCAAATAGTGAATTCAGAATGGAAATTGGATGAAGACTCACCAGTGTCACCCTCGCCATACTCAGCCATGGAGTCAGTGTCCGATTCCGGATGTTTTCCATCCTGATGAGACGATGACGCGACAGAGGTACGGCCCCCAGCCGATTTCGTGTCCAGGGGCTGTGAATATTCATGGAATCCACCCTCGTCTGGGTAGTCACCCCTTCCAGCTGCCAATTCGCGTTCGTGCACGGCATATTTCCCACCACGATTGCGTTTTATCACGCACACAATAATCAGCACCATTAAGAGGAATGCTATAGCCAGCATCATACCAATAAACCAGCCAGCAGTAGCGACATTCTCTTTGGGCTGAATGATAGGTCCCTCGCTGCTGGTCTCGACAAGCTGCCACTTGCTGGGTGTCATGTACTTTCCATCGACTGCCACGACATTCATCTCATAGGTTTCCCCACTGCGTAGCCCTTTGATCTCTATCTCATTGCTCAGTAGTTGTGGCTCTGTGCGATCCTCAACCGCCTGATTCTGCAATTTATAATTAACGAAGAAGCTGCTGCCAGGATATCCAGCCCTGTCAGGCAGCCAGACAACCTTGACATTGGCAAGTCCATTCTCCTTGGGTATCGTTTCCCACCTGAACGTGGGTACATCAGGTTTCTTGGACTCCCTGGTGCTCTCCTCCACATAAAAATCCACACCCTCTCCAGCATTGGTAGTCGCCCTGACGTGAATACGATATTTCGTGTCGTGATTGAGTCCAGCGATTTTAGCAGAGTCAGCATCAGGCTGGAGTACCCTGGGTTGTCGTTCGACAAGAGCTCCCACCTCAGTTCCATTGATTGTTTCGTAATAAATTCTGTACCCAGTGAGTCGTCCATTGGGCTCAGCAGGCTTGGTCCACCTCAGCATCATTGCACTGGAGCCCATGGGATAGGCATCGAGACTGAGAATAGTCCCAGGAACTCCTTCAGGTGTATCAAAGCTCAGAGTCTCAGAGGGTGGACCATTGAACCTCCCATTGAACACAAACATCCTCACAAAGTTCTTACTGAACGGCACGAACTTGTCGATAATAGCGCGAGTACCAGTAGCCCCCTCGAGCGTAATCTCCCTCATGCCATCCTCCCCATCCCGCTCCGTCCACGTCTGCACCTTGTAGCCTTTCAACTCCCCTTTAACCGATTCCAGAGGTACGCGAGACCACGACAATACAGCAGTGGTACTGGATTTCACCTCTTCCACCGTAAAATTACCCGGTGCTGTCGTCGGCTGGTCCTCACCAGAGTAACCAATCACAATTTCAGGCACCACCCTGGACTCACCCATCTCATTCTGCGCCACCACCTTGATCTGATACCTCTGATACGTCGGCTGATTATCCACTTCAAACCTATTGACCTTCCAATTCCATACATCAACTCTCTGCCATTCCTCCCCAGGTATATCCCTCCTGTAGAAGACCTTGTACATGAATCCAGGCGCATGATGTTCCACTTGAGGCATCACTGTCCAACTGACGACGAGATTCTGGGGTGTTGTGCCATTACCCATGACATTGGATGGATTTTTATGGGGGAAATCAGGTTGAGTCCTGCAGACCGTTGAGTGAGCTGAGGGAATCGAGGCACCAATTTTGTTCCAGGCGATGATTCTGAAGGTGTAATTTGCCCAGGGGGACATGGGAATGGTGGAGGTTCTGTCAATGGCTGAGATATTCTCCCACACTGTTTCCCAGGCGTCTGGAGTAAAAGATGTATTGTACTGCAGAGTATAACGCAAGATGGGGGCTTGATTGTCCTTCCTTGGTTGCCAGGATAATCTTGCATGGCGCTCATAACACTCGTTGCTCGTGAGGACTGGTGCATCAGGCACGTCTTGAACCACCAGAGTAGCCTGCGCCTTCTGCTCATCGATCTCGGTTTTCGCTAGGCACGAATAAATTCCAGAGTCCGACTCAGTCGTTTTCGATATTGAGAGAGAAAAGTCATTGGTCACCACGAGTCTGGGCTCGTTCTCGGTGTCAATTACTTCGTCATCCTTAAGCCAATCGATCTGCAGTGTGAGTGATGAGTCAGCCACTGCATTACACCGGAATGTCGCTGTGTCTCCAGCAGCAACTTCGTAGTCTTCAGGTTTCTGAGTGATTCGCGTGTGCTCCTTCACAACTAGATTCGCCGATGCATCCACCTTTCCAAATTTATTGGCCGCGTGACAGGTGTACGTCCCAGCATCCCTGAAGTCCACGTTAATGATCTCCAAGTCTCCAGTATTCAGGATCCTGAATTTTCCTTCACCCACCTCTTGACTTCCCTTTCTCCACGTGATGGTGGGTTTTGGCGCCCCGAAGACTCTACATGTCATTGTGACTGTGGTGCCATCTACTGTGGCTTCGTTCATCGGTGGCTGCGTTATCTCAGGCTCAAGTGCCAGAACATTCACGTACACATCCTTGTAGACATATCCAAGGGAATTAGTGGCATTGCAACCGTAATTTCCAGTGTCCTTTTTAGTCACTCCTTCGATAACAATTCTCGTACCAGCGACTCTGCGACGAGGATTGTAAGGTGCCTGTGAAATCGGTTTCCCATTGTGAATCCATTCAATTTTTGGTGTGGGAACTCCAGACGCCTCACACTGAAAATTCACGGTCTCATCCTCAGCGGCTGTCTGAATCTCAGGCTGTACGGTGAAGAAGGGTACAGCCACGACTGTCAAGTCAATCGAGTGACTAGCCTTTTTTCCAACGCCATTGCTAACGTCACAAGTGTATTTTCCCTGATCGTGAAAATCCACATGTTTAATTATAAGGGATTTGCCGTAGTTGCCATGTGTAACTCGATCGTTCGGCTTTATTCGCGATCCATTCTGCCTCCAGACAGTCTCAGGTAGGGGTGTACCACCGAAGATGCAGAAGAGCTCCACTTTTTTCCCCCTGAGTGCCACTTCACTTGATTTCGAGAGGTATTGTGCGACCGGTGGGTGTTTTTTCAGTATCGCCAAGGGCCCGTTTGGTATCACGTTGAGAAGAAATCGATTCCCCACTTTGTATTCTTTTCGATACACCGAGGAAATTGAACACGCATAGTAAAAGTCATCGGAGGCATCGTCTCGAGTGACGTTTGAGAACCAGAGGTTTCCCTCAGGGTCCAGTGTCATGCGGGAGTTGTTGATGGATTTTATTATACCCGCGGCGTCCTGAATCAACCAGTAGACGTTTGGCTTTGGCCAGCCCTCGGGTGGTTTGCATGTCAGCTTGAAGGGCGATCCTTCCTGGGCCGTCAGGGTCATCGGGTCCTCGTCCTTGAAGGAGTTTAATTCCGCTTTTCGAGCGAATACTGAATTCGAGGTGGCTATACCCCATTGATTCTCAGCAAAACACTGGTATTGGCCGAGATCTTCGTCACGTGGTCGTGAAATCACCAGGGTACCTCGACCTGGCTGTTGCGTTATCCGGTCCTCGTGCTGCTGGATGTCGAATTCTTCACCGTTTTTTATCCAACGGTAGCTATTCAGGAATTCCAATAATTTATCTCATCGATTTATTTTTATGTCACGACATAACATAACATATCGCATAATTGCATAAAAAATTTCGGGAAACATATTTCTTATTGACGATTTGTAAAAAAATAATTGGCGTACCATCGACTGTCTTTTCTTCATTTCAAAGATTTTTCTGAGTTTGAAAATGAGGCTACATTTAATCGGACTCGAATGGTGCGTTCATGCAGTTATTAACAGATACGTCTGCCTTCAATATACCAGGATTTTAAAAGAGTGGGGTGTAGTAATTTTATGGGCCCCCGGGGTCCAGGAGGGGGAGTATATGAGGTCATACAACTGATTAATCCCAGTTGTCTTACTGCACATCTCCAGCCAACTCGAACGAGCATTCAACTGCATTAACCAGCCCGATTCAAATTATGACTGATGATGGTGAAATAAAGGAAATGGACTTACGTCGGTGCTGGCTCGCCTTCCGCCTCGCACTCAATTAGAAAAGGTCTGTCGTTCTCATTCTGATTGGCCTGGGCCACTTGAAAGAGGAGCTCATCAGTCGGTGGTTGTTTCGATATCCTCGGTGGAGATTGAACTAAATTTCAAGAGCCATTGTAATACATTCCTAAGAAAAGTCTTAATTTCTACACCAAACAATTAATTCTGTCTATAAAAAGGCACTCAAGGAGATAATGACAGTGATGAGATATTAATCATGATAAAACAGTGGCAAGGTTTCGTTATAAAAAATATCATTGATAAAAAATTTATTGAGAATCAAACGATTAATGATTGAGCGATGGAACGATTTTTTAATGATTAACAATTAAACAGTCAATGAGCTAGGTGATTCATAGCAACATTAAATGAGTCTAATGAATTGTTTTGGAGAATAATGATACGAAGAAAGCAAAAAATTGTTAATAAAATCTAATTGTCTGTCACCAAGTCTCATCACCTTGGAAATACACCGCAAATTGAACTATAAAACCCAGAAAAAAAAAACAAAATTGCCATTAAAATATGTACCAGGCGCATATTGTTAATGTAATTTCCCATTCACCCAATTATTTAAACTGTAAAAAAAAAATCAAATCGAGATATTTCTCTTTTTCATTCGCATCTCTCACGATCATTTAAATGACATAAATTAAATTCAAGTTTATCCACTCACTTGAGGCAGACGCGTATAGCGCTGATGCCACAACAATAAATAATGAACACCTCATGGTCATGGTTTCTGGGATTGCTCTGCAACAACACAATAACAAATAATTCTTCACTTGAACATGAACGATTGATCGTTGAATATCACACACAGAAAATCCCCTCGCGGTTCTCCTCTTCGCCTCCCACCCATGCCCTTCGATTAAACATTTCTTCGCATTTTCATTTCCTTTCTTCAAACCTTCCAGATAATTGTTTCGGCCAGTCGGTTGCCCCTGGAAACGGCTCCAGATACTATTCAGTACACGTAAGCAAATTGCAAAGAATACTATCCCGGAGTAAACTGAGATAAATTGAATTTTTCCTCTCTCCAATTTCGACATAACTATACCAACGAATTTCAACCGCAAATATCACAAAATTTACTGAATAAATGATAAAATACGAAAGGACCTTTTTAACTCGATAATTAAATCACATCCAAAAAAGATGCTGCTGACAGAAAAAATATTTGAGTGATTACCGAAACCCACCCCAAATAAATTCAACCGCAATGATAAAAACTGTTCCTTGAAAAATAATCCAGATCTCGTACAATAATCTCGGTCATCATCCAATGAATTCCCCGATATCCCATTGACAATTGCGATCCATATAATACATAATATCCACATAGATTGTGTAATTGAGTGTCGCACGCGCACAACGAAACAGGTAGTCCCCGGATGATATCACCATACAAGAAATATGACAGCACCAGCCGAAAATAGGAATTACACCCTGAGTGCTCCAAACCCGATCATGAGTTCATCCCTCGTCAACCACAAGAAGAAGCCAAATGAAATGAAAATCCGAGGGATTGATTGAGGGCTTGGCGAATAGAACGGGCACACCCGAAGGGGAAGCATTGATCGACCCCACTTGTCACAATTCACCCTCTACAACCCCTAGAAGAAAATTAAAATAATTAACAACTCCGTGATCATCACTCACCGTATTTTCGCTAATTAATATCCTCTAATAAAAAACTAAAACACTCGAGTGTCAGTTCATCACCAGGGCATTGTGAAAAAACCACTGTCTCGCCATTCAATACCGTACGGTATCCCGTACTACATCTACATGAACAGTACTTGTTCGTGAGGGAACGCCATGCAGGCGCCGATTTTATGATTCTCCCCCACTCCCGTGAAAAAGAGAGATCTCATTGGTCGAGAGGATGCACAGCCATAATTCTTCATTCAAAACGTCCGATACTATTTCGAACGAGCCCTGATCAGACCTGGCAAACAATATTAGTCGGCAATCTGTAAAAATCATAAATTAGGATACATGTGTTTTTTTTTATCAATTTTTCCAGCGCATCGGTCTCGTAGAGGTGACACCCTCGGGGAAAAATATATGATTGATGAATTATATATTGATTTTTTTTTTATTTCATCGATTTCACGGAATTTTTTTTTACCTGTCAATGGGATTTTTGGGGGATGATTCAAGAATTCGGGAAAGTGCGCTCTTTCGAGGGGAAATTCGATAGGTGAGTGGAGTTTCTGAATAGGCCGGACCCCTGTGGAACTTGGCAGATGTTTTGAGGAATTGTAAAGAGGAATTTGGGACGAATGGATTGGGGGAGTTCTATTTCAACTTTCACAGCTGTACATGAGCACAACTGTCGATGGAAAATTTTGTCGGTCAGACAGTGTCGGTAGAGTCGAAATTCTATTCTTTTTATCTGCGATCGATGTGTGTTAGAGATTATCAACGCAGAGAGATGACAGCATTTATTCTATCAAGAGAAAAATACTCGCGAACCCAGTGTCTATCAACTCGTCAAAGTGTGAATTTTGAATTTTATGAATCACAATAGCGATAGCTAATGGTTAAAAGAAAAATATCAATGCATTTTACTCCAATGATAAAAATTAATAATAAATCATAAAACCTACAAATGCTTTGCCACCATTGAATGTTATGAATATTTAAAAAATTTTTTTATCCCCGCCATTTAATAAAATCAATAAAAATTAATAATTAAATAATGATAAGGAAAGATTGCATTGAATGCATCGCGAGAACATGGCAATATTTTTCAAAAATTGAATTCCATGATAATGTTACAGGTCGAATGTTTTCAGGTTAGTGAATATCCCTAGGCCATTCAAATTTCCGTGACTGTTTGGTGTGACTGTTTGCGTTGTATCAACCGAATCACCTCAGAGCGATATTTCTCGTCATTAGTCAAAACAAAAGCATTCCGTGATCGTCCGAGAGTCTCCGGGGCTGCTAAAATGGCACAGAATATCAATCCATTTTACTCATCTCCAAGTGCTAACAGCAAGGCCAGAGAGGAAAAGCAGAATATTCCCAAAGACAACCACGCAGTCAGCAAAAGGTGAGGAAGAGAAACTCGTGTCAAGGAATCCATTAGAGGCTCATTATTTCTCAATATCTTCATTTTTATTCCCTGCTAAATCACTTTTCCATTCCAAGTCCCCAATTCTTTCTCTCAATCTCTCTACTTTTCCTCATAACCTCTCCCTCTTTCAATCGACTTGCCATGTTTTGTTTGGCTTGACCTGTATCATTCAATAATATCTAAATTTAGCCAACAATTCTCAATCACTGGTAATTACCAGGTGAATTGCTCCAATCGAATTACAGAAATCGAAACTCTCAATTTTGGAGCATTTCGATATTATCCTGAGCGAATTGAGACCTTTAAATCGATAATCCATTTTTTTTGGAGTGAATCTGACTAATTAACGTGCATCAGTTTTTTTTTAATTCATATAAATTTTCTCGGCTTCATATTCATAATTATGACGCTTTCTATTGTTTAATCTGCATCAACTGGAAAAAGGTCTCCAGAGAAATTTTGGATTTTTCTTGCAATTGAGAATTGAATTGTAAATAATTCCAAGATTAATATTGATTGATTGCCAGACTGCAGAAGGAGCTCATGGTCCTCATGATGTGCACAGAGAAGGGCGTATCTGCATTCCCAGATGGCGAGAATCTGTTCAAGTGGATTGGCACCATCACTGGCCCTCGAGACACTGTAAAAAATTACTCAATTCTTCGAAAATAAATTGCCATTCTTGGGGTTTTAACTTGTTTTTGGGATTTAAGGTGTACGCTGGGTTGACATACAAGCTGACCCTGGAGTTTCCACACAGCTATCCATACAGTGCTCCAGTCGTTCGTTTTGTCACCTCGTGTTTTCATCCCAATGTCGATCCAGTTGGAAACATCTGTTTGGATATTCTCAAGGACAAGTGGAGTGCTTTGTACGACGTTCGTACTATTCTGCTGTCAATCCAGTCTCTTCTCGGAGGTAAATTACCAATTTGTACTTGTGGATACAATTCAGGGACAAAAATGAAGTTATTTTTTTTTTCAGAGCCAAACAACGACAGCCCCCTGAATCTCCTAGCAGCTGAGCTGTGGAACGATCAGACAAAATACAAGAAGCAACTCCTGCAAGAGTACCACAAAGACGTGGATCGTAATCCCCAGGATTCATGATAAGCAAATATAAAAAATATCAAAATTTCATCTATACTATTACCATCTTTCATACTGCAAAGGATATAAAAAGAACATAATATTCATTACAATCGAAGTAAAATGAAATAAGGAGTCTTGTTCTCCATCGATTAATTGAAATTGGCACGTTCCCGATGAAAAACTCGGACAAGCGGCCTATTAGCGTAAATTGAATGAAAAAAATAATGATTGAAAAAGCGTTAGTGTGGATTGATTAAGTATTATTGAAATTTGTGGTGAAAAAAAAAAACATTGAAGTGAACTCCAGCTATTGAATAATTGCGTGTCTAATTGTAGAGCATTCTGGTACTCGTCTGAATCTATTATTTATTTCATTTTTCATGTTAGTGGATAAATTCCAGTGGTCTCGAGCAATAGGTGAATAATAGAACAAAATCGTACAGTAGATATCTTTTCCTTCCGTTCATTGTCGTCTTTTTCTGGAATAAATATTTTTAATGTACAAACCAAGAAGTCTGTTGATTTTAAGTCATCCCCTGTGATGAATCCAATGCCCATTAATCCAATTTAAATCAATACAAAACCTCAATGACCTTCAGACTCACGTCTGCCAAAATGACGGCTGAAAATTTGCAATAATAAATATTCTCTGACCCACTGTCTCCATCAGTGAACCTCAGAAAGACTTGAAACTGGAGACAATGGTGTTGAAATTACAAAGAGTTCTCTCTAAAAATCCTCTCGTCACATCTAAAAAATTTCTTTCTAACCCTCGAAGGACCATTCATTGCTCATCGATTACGTCGAGTGCAGCTGAGGTAAGACGATTCTAAATTCAATCAAATCCAACGATTCGCCCAATCACGCCCTGAATGTCATTAACAACCCGATTTTCCATGTCAGGAACGAAAAGTCAGAGTCAAGGACGTAGATATCAATTATCTCAGGAGTGGAAATGGAGATCATCCTGTTCTACTCCTTCCTGGAGCTCTTGGTGAGAATTAAATGAATTTTTTAATATTCCGGCGAGTTTCAGGGGAAAATTACGGTTCCATTGATAATTACTCTGTTGTCGCTCAGTCGTTTTGCGATAATTATTGCATGTTCGATTATTTATTATTTTTATCAAAACGAGTTGGTAAAACAGAGGAGAGGCTCAGGGAGGAGATGCTGCCACCTCTGACGGCCCATTCCACGTCATTATTTTTTTTCATTTTTAAATGTATTTTAATATAACAAATTAAATATATCGACATAACAGAGAAATTATAATATCAAAAGATAAAATGGAATTCACAAAAAATTACTTTTGTTGGAATTTTTCCTGGAAATTTTTATTATTAGGGATGTTTTAAATGTTTTCTCCCATTGATTAGACCAATTGTATATTCAAGATAATTAAAATTTCAGGTACAATTTGGACTGATTTTAAACCCCAAATCGAGGGCCTGGATAAGAGCAAACTGACGATAGTAGCCTGGGATCCCCCTGGTTATGGAAAATCAAAACCCCCAGACAGAAAATTCCCAGCTGATTTTTTTCACAAAGACGCTGATTACGCTCACGAATTAATGAAAGTCCTGGGGTACTCCAGGTTTTCCCTCCTAGGATGGAGCGATGGAGGCATCACATCCCTCATTCTCGCAGGAAAAAACCCCAAGAGCATCCGAAAAATGGTCCTCCTGGGGGCGAATGCTTACATACTCCCCCACGAGGTCAAAATTTACGAGAGTACTGACGCAATTTTTTCAAAAGGAATTTTCACAGTTTTTGGAGTTTAAAAAATGATTTCCACCGACAACTGTTGAAATTTCTTTGGTAATCAAAATGTTCTCTTAATGAGAAACAGGTGATTAATGCATTTTTCGTGATTGGGAAGGTATTAAGAACATCGATACGTGGTCGGAGCGCATGAAGGCACCACTAATAGCCATCTACGGTGAAGATTACTTCAGACGTACCTGGGGTGCGTGGGTCGATGCCATGATTAATATCTTCAAGAAAAATAACGGAGATCTCTGCCGAGATTTTGTGGCGATGATCAACTGTCCTACGCTCATTGTCCATGGAAAAAAGGACGTTATGGTTGATGGGGAACATCCGGAGTATTTGAAAACGCACATTACCGGCTCCCAGTGAGTCCATTGCCTTCTTCTCCTGCACGCATTCGTTAAATGATCGGTAATATTTACCAGAAATTATCAACATTATTTTCAGACTCGAGATATTCGAGAAAGGATCCCACAACCTCCACCTCAGGTACCCCGACGAGTTCAATCGGCTCGTCACTCAATTCCTCCTGGAAAATCCTTGAAGATTTCAAGTAATCCTTGAAGAAACTCAAGTAATTGCATCTCAAGGCAAAAAATTTTATACAGAAAAATGTCTTTGAGTGTGATCAAAGGGAATTTTTTGATTTAAAAAATTTAACGATTATTGAAATGATTGTTCATTTTTATGATTTTAAGTGGATCAATAAAATCGATTGAACAGGAAATATCAATCTTTATTTTCACCTAGAATTATCAACTGCATGACGTGGCGCATGTGGGATAACCAGTCAGAGACAGGGATGAAGGGAAAAGTCAGGGCGTGGGTGGTGCATTCATTTTCATACTCGACTTTCATTAGAATTCGATTATTTTTCCATTCATTTTCAAGAGAGAGAACCTGAGAATTTTTCTATTTATAAAAGTAACTGTCAGAGTCGAAGAAATTTCTAATCGGAAAACGGATTTTTTTTTGACATTTCATCAATCCGTATTTTTCGGCTGAATAATAATTTCCTGGTAGTGCAATAATCTTGCAATAATGCAAGATAACTGGGATGCACCGAGTTAATGAATACTGAAGTATTTAAATTAGTGTTTGAATAGGAAAGTATTTTGTTTTGGGGATTAATATTTTCAACGTCTTGATGATCACGTGCATGACCGCTCGGTAACGCTCCGGTGAATTTGCCTTCCCCCAGAGTACGGAGGAGTCGAGATAGACGTCACGCCCTTCCGTTTTCATCCTCGGACAAAAGGAATGAATGCATTCACCTCATCCTCGACGCCCTCTCCGTCAGAAATATTCAAAAGAATTTCGATGAAAACGGTGACAGCGCGACTTCCAACGAAATATCTCGAAATCTAAAAGATATCGCAAAATTTTTATTGATACCTTTTTTGTAGAGCGCAATGGGAGGAACAAAAAAGATTTCGACGAAGAATTCGTAATTTTTTTAGATTCGGAGATATTCGCTGATTTTTACTCTGAACATTTCAACTCATCCACCATTTCATCAACTTGCGGTCGCGTGTGCGAATAAAAATCAACTTGTCCGCATTGCGCTGTTTAGGGAGCAAATCGATGATTTAAAACCAGAGCCCCGATACGCAAGAATGACTGCGAATGCTCAACCGAGCCATGGGTGGATAAAATAATCGTTTCGAATTAAAATTGGAGATGTGCTCCAATGGAGATGGTAGGTAATTGACCTGACTGTTTGGATACATTTCTCGTTGAAAATTGCAGTTGTTCGGATGGATTAAATTTTTTTTTTGCCATGAGGGAAAATCCTCCTCGCAACGAGTGAGACTGCTCTTCCGTTATGGAAAAATCATCTCGTGGGGATTTTTAAAGGCTGTAGAAAGTGGAATTGTCCTACTTGTACAGTCGATCACTCCATATTCGTGGATGGGGCGCGTTGACATCATGAATCTCAAGTTCTCTCGGCGAAAATAATTTTTTACTGGGCTAATTATTTCAATTTCGTGGCCTCGATTGAATAATGCTTAAAAATCATGAGTCGATTAAATTTTCTCCTCGCACTGGAAATAATTACACGAAGATAAAAAAAAATTCTCTCAACGATTTTTTGATCATATTCACATATTTTTTTTATGTTCACAGAGAATTGGGTGTTGATTAATAAATTTCAATTTAGAATAATGAATTTATCGATATAATTATGATTTATGATTTATGATTTTTCTCATCAAAATTATGGGTTTCAACTGATCGCTGCGTCTGGGGATAAGTCCGAGAATCGTAATCGCTGAAGGATCAGATTTATGCGGTCTCAGGTGATTTGAATACCTTCCCATCCCCTTGCATATTTTACTTGACCGATGAAATAACAGGTCAGACAACCTAAAAGACAGTGACATAAAACCATTCGGGCACAGGTCAGTTTGTCGAGAACAACAGCCGCAACTTTTCTCCAAGTGACATTTCCGTTTTCCCCCGATTTCGATTTTATCCGCTCGATTTTAGTGATTGCCGAATAATTGTTAATTGTGAATTGAATTTTTTCTGTGCGTGCGATTAATTATCGTGTGATCCAATCTGAAAAATGTTTTTGAGTTCACGGTTGAGGGTTTTGAGTGCGGGATCGAAGATTAACCCGCGTCTCACAACCGGTTTTGCCTCAAATCCTCGGCCTTTCGAAGAGATTCCCGGGCCCAAATCGCTGCCCCTCATTGGAACACTCCACAGATATCTTCCGGTTGTCGGTAAATAAATAAACGAAGAAAATTAAAAAAATTCCACCAGAAATTATTTGAATTGGATAATTTCACCTGAATTTCTCCTGAAATTGAAAGATTATTTTTTGGAATGATTCAGGTGATTACAGCTTCAAAAAATTGCACAAAACTGGAGCTAAGAAATTGGCAGAATTCGGCCCATTGGTCCGAGAAGAAATAGTTCCAGGTGTTCACTTGGTTCTGGTCTTCAAACCCGAAGATATTGCCGAGGTTTTCAAAAGTGAGATCGGAAAATTTCCGGAAAGACGAAGTCATCTTGCCCTCATGAAATACAGAACTGACAGAAAGGAGATTTACAACTCTGCTGGATTATTACCTACGTACAGAGCAATTGCAATTAATCAACTCGAATCTCGCGACTTTGTACATCGATTAATCCAAAAACGATTGATTCCACAAAAAAACTCAAAAAATATTTTCTTTTGGAATTTCAATTATCCACAAAAAAGATTATTTCATGCTTTCTTCTGAAATCGATAGTTTTCGACATAAATCGATAATCACGGGAAATACTAAAGTTTAGTTATGATAAAACGTTTTATTGTTTTATTTGAGATGATTATTTTTTTTTTTTTCAATTAGAAAAGGCGAGGAGTGGTGGAGACTTCGTAAAGAATTCCAGAAAGACCTGAGCAAGCCCCAGAGCATAGTGAACTACATTGGAGACATTGACAAAGTCATGAAGAAATTCATTAGCGTCTGTGGCCCGGGGTTCCACAGAGATCTTCTGCCTCTCCTCTCGCGGTTGTATCTTGAACGTAAACGCCTTTTACTAGTCATGCTCTTATCGAGATCAGAGGAATCCTCGGAGAAATACAAAGGAAATTAACTGTTTCTAGTGACTTGTCTAGTGGTCTTCGACGAGCCTTTGGACGTATTTTCTGAGGAACAAATGCTGAGCAATTCAAAGAGTTCAAAGTTGATCAAAGCAGCTTTCGATGCCAACGATCTCATCCTAATTCTAGATCACTCTCGTCTCTGGAGATACTTTGAAACCCCAACGTTCAAGAGATTTCGGGGAAATCTGGAGATCATGCAGGAGTGAGCCCAGTCGTTTTAATTGATATTATAATATTATTATAATACTATAATAAGACACGGCCTTTAGATTTTTAAAATGAGATGAATGGGGACCAATTTTTTCTCATTTTTAGAAGAATTTGAATTTTAAATCCATGATATTTTAGAGTTGCTATTGACATGGTAATCCGGAAGGCGAATAAAATGAAGGAAAAGGGCGTCAGCGAGAAGCCATCGATTTTAGAAAATTATATCTGCAATCCAAATATTGATCTTAAGGACGTGGTGGGAGTGGCTTGTGACATGCTACTGGCTGGAATAGACACGGTAATGACGAGTAATGTAGTTGTAAAAATAATAATTCCTGCCGGAAATCGAAATGATCAAATTGAAAAATTGTAGACGGCGTACACCTCGTCCTACGCTCTGTACCACGTCTCGAGGAATAACGAAGTTCAGGAGAAACTTCGAGAGGAAGTGAAGAGACTTCTTCCCGAGGTCGACAGTCCAATCACGTCGGCTACAATCAGGGATGCGACGTACGTGAAGGCTGTAATTAAGGAGACTTTCAGGTTGAATCCAATTTCTATTGGTGTCGGGAGGATTCTCCTGTCTGACATCGTCCTCAGTGGATATCTAGTCCCCAAGGGAGTGAGTTTAATAATAAAATCACTAATTTTAATTAATAAACTTCGTCTCCACTAAAAGAATTCCAAAAAATTCACCAAATACTCAAAATTTTATCGACTTTTTGGATTGTAATTCAATCAATTAATTATTTAATTGATAAATTCCATGAGATGTTGATGATTGAGAGGAATTGAAGGGATTGTCATTTTTTTAAATGATTGATTTGAATTTATTATTTATTTTGTAGACTAATGTTGTAACTCAGAATCAAGTCGCCTGTCGATTGCCCGAGTATTTTCCCGATCCTGACTCATTCAAACCTGAGAGATGGTTGAGAGAGAATCCAGACTCAAAAGACATTCATCCTTATCTGCTACTGCCTTTTGGCCATGGCCCAAGAGCCTGCATTGCGAGAAGATTAGCAGAGCAAAATCTACAGCTGTTTTTACTTCGAGTAAGAAAATTATAGAATTCTCCTTGATTCAGCGACGCAATTATTTATCTATTATGGATTTTCCAAATAGTTTTTCAGAGCCTACAGTGTGGAGTGGAGAGGAGGAGTCATTGACTGCCTGTCAGTGCCTCTGAACACTCCAGACGGTCCAATTGCTCTGGAATTGACTGATGAACGGAGGAAATGACTGAATCAATAGGACAATTGTCACGAAATTTCGTGAATGATTTGATCCAATTTGATTACGTGGAGAATTCGTGGAGAAATCGTGGGATTATTCATTTTCATTCTGGAGAATTCCGCATTGTCTGGACGTGGAGATCGATACGAGTGGATGACCCCGAGGAAGCGGTCACGACTGCTTGAACGAACGTTCGTTAAAACTATAATGTTACTGAATTAGACTGGGGAAGTGAGAAAATTGACGTAATTTAATTATTTCATTAAAAACCTATTGAAAACTCGATTTCATCGGATTCCAGATCAATCAATTCAGGAATTCATTTAAAAGAAGAATTCACTAGAATTTACTCCAAAACTCTTATCATTCGATTAAATTTTTTACTCAAGGATATTTATTTTTAACAATTCTATGAGAATAAATTCATTTTAGTGAGACTTTGGGAAAGTTGATATGCAGTGAATCAGGAAAAATTCACTTGCCACTCAGAAGAAAAATCAAACCGATTTTTTTTTTTGCTACGGGAGAATCGGTCCCCTGTCGCCAAAATACAATATTCTGAGTCACGTGGGGTGAAAAATATTGGACATCCGTGGAACAAAATGAAAAAAAAAAGTGTGTGGTGGGAGAGATTTCTCGGAAACGTGGGCGACATGCATGGTAATACGGTTGTTTGTTATTGCCCACGCCTTCATATGCCCTCACGACGAAAATTCACTCGAGACATTTTTAAAAGGAGGCGAACGGTTTTTATATCCCATACACTTTTGGTCAACATTTTTTACTGTCACTCCATCGGGATTTAAATGGATTCTTCCTCATTGACCGCAGCCCACGATTTTAAACTCGCTCCATATAAGTTTTGATGCATTTGTGGTACCTCTCGGGAATTTAATTGACCATTGTCTTTATACAATATTTGTTATGAATTTATTATGAATTTATTATGAATTTATCATATTAATGAATTAATTAATTCAATTAATCCAGCGTAAATTGTTCGCGAAATATTCTATAATTGTTAATCATGGATCTGTCAACCGAGAATTGTAAATAAAAAATTGAGATAATGGAAGAGGAACTTTTTATTTTCGATATGAATGCAGTTTATTTTTTCGACTCTATTTGTGCAGTAAATGGCGTTACGAGGCACTTTATTGTTTTGCTCTAGTTGCCCTCACTCTCCAAGAAACAAAAAACCACCGATAATTTAATTAATTCATTTTCAACCGGTCAGACAATATTTAATTAGACTCGCCGCCTCGCGTGTTCGATAAAATTTAATTGAAAAATTGGAAACAAGAAAATAAATAACAGTGAAGTTATTGCAAAATATTAAATATTCATACATCCAATTGCAGACGGTTTTAAGACCTAATAATATTTATAAAAAATGTGAATAAATGATTATTTGAATGTTTGATAATGAGAAAGGTAATGAAATCCTTAAATGGAGACAGATTGACAGTAAACAAAACTCGGTGAGAGTCGAAAAGCAAAAATTCGAGACCTCGAGTTCTGCAAATAAATTGCAATTTCTCCACTTACGTCAAAGATCAATTTCCATAGCCGTCTCCACAACTCCAAACCATAAATTTTCAAGGAAAAAATCATCGATCGAGTTGATCGCTTTTGTTGAGAAAAAATCAGATGACCCTACGATTTTTCAAATAAAAATTCACGAGAATGACCGAATGAAATTGGGAAAAAATTCCAATGAGTATTGTTTATGCAGCGGAATATTTTATTCCTTCCTTTTGACAAACCCGACTCCACTTTCGCCATGAGGATGACTCCTTCTACGGCATCTTGAAATTCAACCACTCCTCAGGGATCCATTGGTGCCACTGAGAAAGCGGGACTGACTCTCAAAATTACCACCTCTTCATGTCTCCAGAGATTAAAGTGGTTTCCCTCTAATTCCAGCCCTCATTCCCCCAGGATCTTCAAACCTTGTCAAGCTCTAGACCCTAAGACACCCGAAGCATTCACTCTCCTCACAATTTTCTCATTTAATTTCCAATTTTAAATCCTCCCGACACCACTCACCAGCAGAATGGTGAAGTGCATTTTTCTCGAGGCGAGTTTTCAGATAATATCTCGGTTTCGAAAAAAGATATCAATTTTTTTGTGAACACATTTTTTTTAGATCAAAGTGAGAGCTACAAAAAATGTCCCAATGAAAATATGGCTATCTTTTAAGGGTAGGAGTCTAGAATGTTTTTTGAGGCTTGTCTCCACGTCGTCGGGATCGATAAATGCGTCGGTTCAACATCGTGTCGTTGCTCAGGGTTACTGAATTTCCCATACAGACCAAAACTCACTCATTTGTGAGTCATTCCTACAACGAAATATTCCATCGAAATTACGTAATTTGTCGGCAACTCCATGTGAGTTTTACAGAATACAATTCTTCCATTCTCTGCGAAAAATTGAGGTGTCACTTGACTTTTCCTCAGACAGAAAATGCGTCTGCTGAGCTCTAGCAGAAGATGATAAATGATAAGATCATGATTGATGCGCTTTATCGAAGTGGAGCAATCAATTGATTTTATTTTAAATGTATTTAACAGGGATTGCTCTCAGGCTGTGGTAACTCCTGTTATTTGATGCATATGGAGTAAGCACTGGTGGGGGATGTGATGTCATTTACTGGGATTATAAATACAGTTCTTCCATCGCTCGTATTGTCGCACATATGGAGTGGAAGGACAATGCAGACTCACATGGGATTAAATCGAGCGTGTCTTAAGGGAACTGCACTTTAATTTGAAATTATGTCATCGACGGGGATATATGTCTAGACGATTGCCTAATGAAATTGTTTGCTGGGAGAAATTCTGTCAATTGATTCACCAATTATAGCAATTTCCCAGGAACGTGGAAAGAAAATTCAATTATTCCGTTTAATCCTTGATTTTTAAATCGATTACCGCGGTGATGGAGTAATTATTTTTTAACAAATTGTTGTTAAAGGCGAAACGGAATGCGAATCGATACGGTATGGGCTCCGTTATTCACTCCTTCGTGGAGTCCTGGCATAGCAACACACATGTGCAAGTTTATCCCATCAAGACTTTTCCAGAGTCGAATGTCTGATCCCTACATGGCTACGGTAAGAGATGCTGATATTTTACTTGCCATTCTCCAACCACGCCTTGTAAACCATCGATTACAGCAAGTGACTTTTATCCTAATAAGTCACCTAGACTTCACGTTGTCTCCACCCGAGGTTCACCACGTGCTTCATCCAGGAGTTCCTCCAGCTGCAATTAGAATTACATCCATTCCCAAAATTATTATCATTTCCATTATTAATTACTGATTTAATTGATTTCCAACATTTTCACGATTTCCAATCACGCGCATATTAAAATAATATATGATATTATTATTATTTTATATTATATTATATAAAAATATTTGACTTCCTCAGAATTGAGGTGAAGAAAATTTAATATATTTTTAGGATGAATGAGAATTTATAGAGAATTTTTTCCAAGTGAAGTTGAGTGCGAATTTGAGTAAAATTTCAAGAGATTTTCAGGAGTGCAGATCGAGTCGATCGAAATTAGTCGTTGATTGAATTGAACTTAATCAAATTGATCTATTCCATCCGTCGACTCGTGACGCGAATGCCTAAGGCACTCGTTTCACTTTCACAATGTTTTACATGAGGAAAAAACGGGGGATTCTATATCCTCTCGGTGACTCACGTGTTATTGACTTTCCTAAGGCGCCCTGAGAGCGAAAAATGGTGGGTAAACCGGGGTGGATTATTCGAAACTTCCTCGGGAGTTCAGGTTGCCACCTGTCATTAAGGCACAGGTGATCCTGCGGGTGGTTTTCTTTTTTTAAACCCGGAAATTAAAGGTCCTATTTCAAGTTTTCGGAATCGTCTATTCGAAAAAAAACTCCCTTTACCAATCGAGGAAATTAAATTGACAAACTCGCGTTAATGACTCCAAAAAATTAATTGACGAATATATTTTATGTTTTGATGATTCAATAATTGAATTGAATCAATTTTTCAAGTCAGAAAATTTGAAAGAAGAAATGATCTCCAGGTCGTTTTATTGAAATTGGGTTTTGTGAAATTTCTGTATTTTTTCAGATATTTTTTCGGTAAATAAATAATAGGAGTGTTTTATTCATTATTATTTCTGAGGACTTGATACAGAAACTTTTGAGGGCCATTTAGGAAGTGATGACGTAGGTAAATGCTGATACAGCTAGAGTAATATAATATGATTATTAATAATATTTGTATTCGACTCGTCGTGTCTCGTGGGCGTTAATTTTGGCCCTCACTCCCTCTTCAAATTAAATTACTCTGTCGCTCGATAATAAACCACATTGAGCCTCATTTTCTCAAGGTCACTACTCAATCCATACCTCAACTAGATCCTCGTGAATTGCATTCATAAACAGTCATTACATGCTTTCAATATTACAAGCAAATCGAGTGAAGAACTGTCGTAGAACGAAATAATTGAATGACCATAAATCCACGAATGTTTAATGTGAAAATGGATTAAAAATGGAATGACCTTCATTACTCAAGGACTCTCCCATTTCTTCATTTCAAATTACCCAGAAAACCTCAAACTTCAAATGCAAACTCTAAAATTCCCTTAATTTTCAACCCAATAAATCAAAAAAATTTTCAAATTCAGATTTTTACGAACTATAACAACAATAATAATAATAACAACAATTTCTGAAATATATTTTCCAAATCAGTCATCCCTAGGTTGAAAGAATTCAATAGCAATCCTGACAATTCCATTAAAAGAAATCCAAGAAATGATTATTATTATTATTGTTATTAGAATCCTGTTAATACGATTGTTATTCATAATTATTTACATTAATAATGGAGTTTGAGGATCGGCAGACGATTATACGAAAAAGTTTGTGAATGCAATATCTCCCTTGACTGTGAATTATTTTACCAATTGAATGTTGGCAGCTCTGATGGGGTACGTGTATTCCGCCAGTGGCCCGGGACGTACCGTGGACGCTGGTGTGGTGGGGTAGTGGCGACCAATCCGCGACTCCTGGAGCAACGGCTGTTAATCCCCCACCAACGTCACATCCAGGCTTGAAAATCTGTAACGGGTGCCGCTGCCATCTCATATTCCTCCGTGGTCTCATACACCGTGCGTTCGTTGCAAGTTGAACAAATCAAAAAAAAAAGCTCCGTCTTTTTACCACAAAAAATAACCAGTCTATAATCCAGAGCATCGAAAATGAGGGAAATCGTGCACATCCAGGCCGGCCAGTGCGGTAACCAAATTGGTGCTAAGGTAATTATCAATATTTATCAAGTTTTTTTTTTTTTGTTGAAATAACGGTACGTTACGTCGCGGCGTCGGTTTGGCCTTTGTCTCAACGACCGTTCGATAAATTCCAAAGTGGTTCTCAATTTATCGCTAGTCGGGGTGTTATTGATTTATCAATTCATTAATTCAACAATTAAAATCACCCGAGGGATAATTATTTATTTATTACAGCTGGAGTGACTGGAAAATACGGAAATTTATGGGAATCGCGGGGTTAGCGTCAGGTAGCGTCTTGCGAACCGGATTGACGGCGATTTTTGCGGGAAATAATTTTTTTTTTTTACGTCGGGGTGTCGAATTCGTTCTGACGGTTGTTTGAAATTTGGACGAAATAAATGGAATTTTGTCGAGGGGATCATGGCGACATTTGCCGGCCGGTGAGCGTCGAGCGGTCTAACGGTTTTTTTTTTTCACCCGCGTCACTCCGTCGGCGCTTGGCAACCGCTTCCCCCAAAAAATACTCGATAAATTCACCGGACCTCTGGGGATGGCAGAAAAAAGCCCTCGGCATCTGATAAATAGAAAAAAATACCTGGGTGGAGTGGATTAGGATTATTTAGCCCAGGGTGTGGCAGGATACGCGATTGATGCGGCAACAGCATCGAACCGATGCGCGCGCATCTCAGAAAATCATTCCATCTCGGTTTAAACTCAGGGTGACTCTCTCTTCCTGTGTCTAAACTCATAACCGTCGTTTTTCCCCACTATCTCACACAGGCATGTTTCAACGCGTCCAAGCCGTTTATACTCACTTTTTTTTTCTCTTTTCTTTCGCTTTTTTTTTTGCTTTTTTTTCGTCTTTTCGCTCCAACTCTACGTTTTGCCTGAAGATTCACGGACCATCGACTCATCGCATTAAAAAATACTGAAAAAATATCTCGAAATTTCATTTATAAAAAAATTCGAATCGTAAATTTTCTCATTATGAAAAATAATAATTATTATATTGCGGTTGTCAAAAACAATTTTTATCGAAATCATTAATTTTTTTCTCAATCACACACAATCACATAAATGAATTTTAAATAATGGCATTTTAAATTTATTTGTATAGTTTGATGAAAATTCTGAAAGAATTTGAAGAATTCAAAGAATAGAAATCAGTGGAAATAATTTTTCGGATGAAATTACGTAATGGGTGCAGTAAAAAATGTCAATAAAGATTTATCTAAATTTATGCGATTTTTATCGGAGTAAAGGAGTAAATGGGTGATGCTCTAGGTGTCAGACTGAGTGATAACCGCAATGGATAATAATCGATGGATGTAAGTGCGATTACGAGTACAGGTAGATGCAAATAGGAGTTCGTTACGCCTTCGTTACTTTCAAGGGTACCATATAGAGTCAATGTCCTCACAACGTGAAATATCGAATGCTCCAATTGGTCTCGATTATCACGGGTCTGCAGAAGAAAATGGAAATTGCGTAATGAGGATTTTTCTGTTATGGGAAAAATGAGTCGAGGGCCCAAGGAGAACAAGATTTGCCAGTGGGTCGAGACCAAATGGAGATGTCGAGGTGAAATGGAGGAACGAGTTGCTCATTTTTTTTTTTTTATTGAAAGCTCATCGGTTTGTCTCGGCTGCCATCGAACCCACCTAGCCACCCCAGGTATTCGAGGTATCGATCGCCCAGAGTTCAGGTCCCACCGGTCGCCATTTTATTCGCCATGAGATACTCGAAAATTTTTGGGGAATTATTCGGAGAAAACTGGAGGATTGTGACCAATTTTTGAGGAAATTCGAGTATTCGAGAATTCCGTGAAATTTTCAATTTTATTCATTCTCTGATTTAATAATTTTTGCAAATTTATTGATTTCCAAATCATCTGGAAAAAAAGAGTTGAATTAAATGTCATTTTAATTTTCGCTAGAATGTATACAAAATCCGTGTTTCAAATTTCGGAAAGAAAAATTCCTCAATTTCCACAGCTAAAAAATATTTTTGGAGCATTTGCACCGAAATTTCCCGAGATTTTCCGCATTTCTGGGTATTTCAGGCGGAAAGTGGACACAATACTGATGGGTTTAACACTCAGCAGACACTCGTAACCACTCAAAGGAAATTTTCCGGGAATTTAATCTCTGAGAAAACGAATCACTAGTCTTTCCTCCGAAAATTGTACCACTCGAAGCAAATGGTGGGGACTGAGAAAATCCAAAACAGTCTTAAAGATTAATTGTACACATGTAACTCTTATGCTAATTACTCGGTGTAAGTAGGTTCAGTCATCATGTCTATATATAGCAATGACATTGGTGACTCATGTGTTGGTATTACATGAGGCCGGTGGGAGGTGCAGGTTTGCTCGATGCTCATATATGGTCGTGTGTAGTTGTGAAACCATGTTTTTTTCATTCCACTTTATTTTCATTCTTTTTTTTACTGAGGCCTCACGAAGTCTCGCCTTTTTTCCACTAAATATTCATGAAGTCCCGAAAGATTTCTCATTCAACCTCAAACAATTCAACACAAAATTGTCTATTTATCGAGGAATACCGCGCAATCTTCGCCTCAAACATAATTTTCCTCGGGACCTCTTTTGCAGATTGGACCAAGCCCTGCAAAAAAGGTGTCAATAAAAATTTTGCTATCTCTCTTCAATCCAGAGATATTTGAAGCCACTTTAATCCTCGCCGATTTATTTGCATTAATTATTGATTCTTAGCCTATAAAATTATTAAATTTTTGTGGTAATTTTTTTTATTGACGTTCAGAGAATTGAATCAGACGTAGAGCAATGAATTCACGATTTTATGGAAAATGCAGAGAGAATTTCGCGATAAAATATAGAAGTGTCCACTTCCCTTCATTTATTCGCGCCTCAGGAACTCGTAATATCTCATCTTGAAGAACCACCACTGAGATAATATCCCGAGGTCTTTGAACGGCACTGAGAACCGCGTGGGCGTTGACTCGAAACCTTTCCTCAACCCCCGCTGTACCATAAATTGCGTTTCGTCTTGGCCGAGTGCATAACATCGGGCTGACTAGTCCCAGGGGATATTTTCACAATCGCGAATGCGCAACGGCTGTTAATTAGTCCCAATTGGCAGCGGAGCGTATCGATGAGGCCCCGACGAGGCCTTGAGCTGGCGCTCCAATAAATAACCACCAAAGAGATATGAATTGTCAATTCCACTCGAATAATCTCAATTCATCTGTAATTCCATCAATTATTTTCTCGCTTATCTAATTTAAATGAAAAAACAAACAAAATAGTAAAAATTGCGACGAATTGACTTGTGTTCACAGTTTTGGGAAATCATCAGCGATGAGCACGGAATTGACCCGACTGGTGCATACCATGGAGACTCTGACCTCCAGCTGGAGAGGATCAACGTGTACTACAATGAGGCGTCAGGTGGTAAATACGTGCCCCGAGCAATTCTCGTTGACTTGGAGCCAGGTACCATGGACTCGGTGCGTTCGGGTCCCTTCGGACAGATCTTCAGACCGGACAACTTCGTATTCGGCCAGTCAGGTGCTGGCAATAACTGGGCAAAGGGCCACTACACCGAGGGTGCTGAGCTCGTTGACTCAGTTCTCGATGTCGTGAGGAAGGAGGCCGAGAGCTGTGACTGCCTCCAGGGCTTCCAGCTGACCCACTCCCTGGGTGGTGGTACTGGATCAGGTATGGGTACACTCCTCATCTCGAAGATCCGTGAGGAATACCCAGACAGAATAATGAACACATACTCGGTGGTACCATCACCCAAGGTATCAGACACTGTTGTGGAGCCTTACAACGCCACCCTGTCTGTTCACCAGCTTGTGGAGAACACCGATGAGACTTACTGCATTGACAACGAGGCCCTCTACGACATCTGCTTCCGCACCCTCAAGCTATCGACCCCAACCTATGGTGATTTGAATCATCTCGTATCCCTCACCATGTCTGGTGTTACAACTTGCCTGAGGTTCCCTGGTCAGCTCAATGCTGATCTCAGGAAATTGGCTGTCAACATGGTACCATTCCCACGTCTTCACTTCTTCATGCCTGGTTTTGCACCACTCACGTCACGCGGCAGCCAGCAGTACAGAGCCCTCTCTGTTCCTGAATTGACGCAGCAGATGTTTGATGCAAAGAACATGATGGCTGCCTGTGATCCACGACACGGTAGATATCTCACTGTTGCTGCTATATTCCGGGGAAGAATGTCCATGAAGGAAGTTGACGAGCAGATGCTCAACATTCAGAACAAGAACAGCTCGTACTTCGTTGAATGGATTCCAAATAACGTTAAGACTGCTGTCTGTGACATTCCACCACGTGGACTCAAGATGTCAGCTACATTCATTGGCAATTCAACGGCCATTCAGGAATTGTTCAAACGTATATCTGAACAGTTCACAGCTATGTTCAGGAGAAAGGCTTTCTTGCATTGGTACACCGGCGAGGGAATGGACGAGATGGAGTTCACTGAGGCTGAATCTAACATGAATGATCTTGTTTCTGAGTATCAGCAGTACCAGGAGGCAACTGCCGATGAGGATGCTGAGTTCGACGAGGAGCAGGAGGGCGAAGTTGACGAGAACTAAATTTAATCCCTCTATTCCGCAATTGAATGAACGCACGTGTATAATTTTATTTCTCATCATTTTGTTTTTTTTTCTCCTTTTTTTTACGAAGACAGAATTTTTTTCACGACCAAGCCTGAATCAAGGCTGCCCGCGCATTATTATTAGTTTCTATTATTAATTCCATCTTGATACGTCGCTCGCTTTCAGTATCTTTGTATTAAATGAGAGTTAAGGTATGGAATTGTTCTTTTTTTCGTCACGAGAGCTTCGGGGGTGAGCAGTTGAGCCGTGATTTATTTCTGCAGTGTAAAACCCCACGGGGTTGCCAGAACATCAATTTTTATTAAATTATTGTCGAAATAAAGAAGATACAATTACACTTTATGGATGATTATTTTATTTATTTATTCATTGTTGAAGTTTTGGGAATATCTCAGAATTGAGAATAGATAGCGAAATTTTGATGGTAAGTTTTTTTGCTGCTCTTTTTTCGGCCTACAAAAAAGGTCCTGAGAAAAATATTGCTATCTGCCTTGGATTCAGAGTTATTTCGAATTTCGATTCAGTCATGCATCGAATCGTGTATCCGAATTGTTTATCGGCGGAGAAAGTATTAATAATTCATCGTAATCATTGGTGATAAGGTTTCGAGGGGTTTGCGGGTCGATGCTGCCATCTAATGGGGGAAAAGGACGCGACCCATCGATAAGAGCGATTGGAACGTAGCAATCGTCGCTATCACCAGCTCCTGCTGTGTTGATTGCCTAACAGAATCGATGGGTTTTAAATTATTGGGATGTTCACCCGATTTAATCTAGTCATTTCACTCACGTTTGTCATGGATGCGCTTGCATTTTAATCACAAGGTGATGTCGACTGAGAAGAATTTTTTCGCAGAAGAAATCATAAATTGAAATGAGAAACCCGCGATCTAAGGAACGATTCAATAAAATAAAACCCTGACACTTTCCCCAGGAAATTTTACCGAATCGTTTTCAATCTCTACTTTTTTATTTATTATTTTTTTAAATGTATTTTTTAAACACTATTGAAAATTTTTCTCGCCTCCTAGTTCATAATTTCTTTGGATGCGGGAAGAATTTGAAAGAACAATTTTTGTTACCGCCCTAATTTGTGATGATTGATTTAATTAATTATGATCCACGGGATTATTCGAGTCGATTAAAGTCCACCGGAAGATTTTAGATATTCTAATTAATTTCGTTGATTCTCGTATGAGTCGCAGACTCCGGACGGCTACCCTTCCTCATTACTTTTGAGGGACCACTTGGAGGCCCTGGATGACCTCTTCAGATAACACCGGAAGTGGCTTTCCAGGAAAAATAAAACCACTTCAATCTCGCGCTGAAGGCCAACGAGATAAACCCCTACGTTTCCTTTTAAAATTCCGTCTCGAGATTGAATGAATCTTTTCTTCATTTGAAATTATCACAGTTAATTATTCCTACTAATAGTTTCTAACTTGAACAGATTTGCGACTAATTCCCTCGAGTAATTAAAATCCAGTATTAAAAATAATTTTGTACAATAAATAGTCCACTCCTGGGGATTCGCTAGAATTTTTAATTAAAAAAAAAGAAAGAGCAGAATTTCCAAAGATTTCAGACCTCCCACGAAATTCTTCGTTACATTTTTTTTGTCATCGAATTATTTAATTTAATTTCCTCTAGATGATCTTGAGGCTGGATTCATCGTTCATCACGTCATTAAAACGGAATATCTTCTCAAGAAGTCACTCGTACGTTCAGTCGAGGGGAAAAAGAGGGACTCGAGCTCGACGATAATAGAAATGGTTTTTTGTCCCAGTAGGAGGTGCAGTTGGAAACCGAAGAATGCAGCTGGAAGAGAATATGCGACTCGATACTGATTTTATCCCGCGATTATTTCCTCATATTCGTTCTATTTTTTTTTGCGAATGATTCATGAGTGTAATGACTCAGCAAACACGTTATCTACGACTATTTGATGGAGTTGTCACCGAGGAATTGCCATGGGGTCTCATTGTACTGACAATGATGACTCAACACTACTTCACTGGTGTACGTTGTCTCATGATTTGTCTCAATCTCCGAGAGCTGTCGGGGAATCTCTGGCATGTCTAGCTCATCTCGGATATTTAAACGACCGAGAGAGAGCATTTTAACAGCTTCCAGAGGCTTTTTAAATCATTTTTATCGCCGTAAAAAAAAATTGGAATTTAAACTGGGGGACGCCCCAAGGACATCCACTTCGACCTTTTTTCAATTAAAAATGCACTCTATTTTTGGAAAAATTGAGTCTTCAAATAGCTGCAAGTTATTTTAAGAATTCAAAAAAGAAATCTATGAAAATCATAAAAATTACCATTTCCATTTCGATTCCCATTTTTTTACAAATGAACAGTGAAAGTTATTTATACTATTAACAATGAATATTTTTTATTCAATTATGCGAATCATAAAAATTTTTAAATAATGAGTATGGGTTTCGAATGGATAATTAAATCGAAAATGTGAATAAAAATGGAAAAATTCACTGATCTGGAGTTTTGAGAATAGGAGATATCCAAGGATTGTATTTTTCTGGGCTGGAAGTCATCCAAAGACTCCCGTTGATCCCAGAGCAAACAAAACCACAGACTCCTGGTAAATAAAAAGGAGGGAACCGTGGCAAATGTAAAAAAAAAGAGCACGTGTTGAAGAAGGGATATTTCCCCAAGAGGATAAGTCTCATTCCCCCACCAGAGAGTAAGAATGTCTTGTCGGGCAAGAGTACGTGAATGATTTGAGTCGAGTTTGTGCCACAGACCCGCCAACAGCTCTCAGAACTTGAGAATCCAATCCCTGAGGAGCACTCGAGCATTCACCAGGTCGAATCATGAGGGAAATTGTTCATCTCCAGGCAGGCCAGTGCGGCAATCAGATCGGCGCCAAGGTAATATCAAATTGAATTGAGAAAATCACCCCATGGAGTACCACAGGGTCATTGAACTCCATAAAAATAGAAATTAAGGCAGTCCTGGGAGGGATTTTCCCATGAGCCCTTCTTCAATGCAAATTGCAGACTTAAAAGGGGCACATGGAACATCCTGGAGTCCCTGCAATTACCTCAGTTTCGTGGATGGCATGACATTACTGACTTCTACGTCTTCATTAACTCCAGAATGCTAAATTAGCAGGGAAGACTAAATTCGATCACTTCCGGTATTTTTTAACTTCTCAAGGAGTTACTCACGCTTCCGTAAATAAAAGAAAACCTTGAGTGATAATGAATCATGTAATGATAAGAGTCAGTCATTCTGTTATCACAATCCACGCAGATCTCCTCTCAATTTTTATCTGAAGAGGAAACATTTCGATGCGCTATTTTTTAGAAATTACGTCGGAATTTAAACCGCTAGCGATTTTTTTGTGATTATCATTTTTGTAGCTCTTGAGGAGCTCTAGAGAAAAGGTCGTAATGAAAATATCCGGAAATGCTTTGGATTTCGAGATATTTTATGAAAATCGGTGGGGAAATCGTGAGTCATTCAGTCTTTTCGTTTGGAGTCAAGACAACTGGCGAATTAAATTCGCCAATTCACTCGCACGTATCATTGGATTATATTGGGGATCGTAAAACATCTCGGTGTAACTGTAACCGGAAATTTGTCGTAAAAATTCTTGAAGTAATTTCAGAGATTCTGGTTGAGTTGGGCTCGGTGATTAGTGCCTGTATGTTTTTTAATGACTCGTAATTGGCCATTTGTTGAGATTCAGAGGACTTTTTACTGGGGAATATGTGGCGCGGGTTTGCGGTTCAACGGGCATTTGGAATACCGGGATATTTACACTTGCCATTCGATATTATGGCGAACATGCCATCGGTCACGGGATCGGATTCCACCGGCAAGTCCATCGCGTCCTTTTGACTCTGGGGAATCGATCATTTACCGGTTCTCCAGGATCTCCTTATCGCGGCTCGATAATCACTAATTTCTCCCTGGAATCCCCTAGTAAAAAATTCATTAACCATCTCAATTTTCGTTCTGATCCGATTATTTAATGGATTTTAATAAATTATTGTTAAATTCCATCAATTTCATTTTGTAATTCAGCAATTGATAATCTAAATGCAATCAATTGAATTGATACAAATAATTGTAGGAGTATTCCAGGAATTTTTAGCAGATAGGAAATTTGCAAATAATTTCTGGGAATCAAAAAATCATAAAATGGGATTCACTCCGCCTAATGAAAAATCTCCAAAACTCGAGTGCACTGGGGTAAGAAGTATGACGGGCACTACTAATAATAAACTTGAGGAAAAATAGTCGACCAAAAAGACAAACGAGTCGCATTGAAACCGGGGGTTTTTGCCGAGGTAGGAGGGCCATAGGCCGCGTTAATTTCGTTCTCATCTATTCCTGGACCGGGGAAACTTGTCCTCTCATGTCTCCAAACTTTTGGGTTCAAGACACTGGATAGACTTGAGGTAATACGATAATCCCTGATTTCCCAGCAAACGCGCTTTATTTTTGCACTGACAACCAAAATTACTTGTTAAAAATTGATTAACTCGAGAGTTACAAATTTTTATATTTTTAAATATCCAAGAATTCCGTCGGTTTAGAAATAATTAAAAGTAATCACTGGAAGATGTTGAGTATAATCTTATGATTATTGATTATTGTTAGGTCTAATTGGAATCGTTTGGAAATGAATAATTAATTAAAATTGGAGAATTGACTTTGGAATTTTTTCTCGCAGTTCTGGGAGGTCATCTCCGAGGAGCATGGTATCGACCAGACTGGTATTTATCATGGCGACAGTGATCTCCAGTTGGAGAGAATTTCTGTCTACTACAATGAAGCCTCCGGTAAGAAAATCCCATCGCAATTCAGCCCATAACACTCCAATTTTGATTTTATATTTTTTTTTACGACAGCTGATGCGACAGGCGAAAAACAATTTTTAAACATTATCCAGGAATTAATCGCATTAATTATTCGCGCATTTTCAATTCCATTCGTCTCACAATTTCAGGGATAGAATCTACTCAGTGGTAGTAATTGTTAGAATTGGTGAATTGCCGGGTAAAATTACACCGTTGGCTTAACGTCGGGGTGATTGTACTCGTCATCTCGCTCATTTGGAAAACGCGCACGAGGTAGAACCCGTATTTGCGCTTCCGCCAGCTATTCCGGTTAAGACGATTTTTCGGGGACTGGTGAAATTATTCACAGCCCGATAGTCTCGGAATTGCCACTGTACGAATTAAATTGGGTATATAAATTAATGAACAACCGAACAAATCATTCCGACAATTTTCGTGCATTTCTATAATGAAAATAAATATCAGGTGAATTTTTTTGTGAAGAATTCCTTCCACAATTGTTTTCGAAAATTGAATTACCTGAAGATTCTTCGCTAAAAGTCCCCGAAAAATATTGAGTACACAATATTTTTTATTTAATTCTGGAATTGCAGTTGCAACAGCTACAAATGGTGGTAAATACGTGCCCCGAGCAATTCTCCTGGACCTGGAGCCAGGCACGATGGACGCGGTGCGTTCGGGTGCTTATGGAAAGCTCTTCCGACCTGACAACTTCGTATTTGGTCAATCGGGTGCAGGTAACAACTGGGCGAAGGGTCACTACACCGAAGGTGCAGAGCTAGTGGACTCAGTCCTGGACGTGGTGCGAAAGGAGTGTGAGAACTGCGACTGCCTCCAGGGCTTCCAGCTGACCCACTCCCTGGGGGGTGGTACAGGCTCAGGAATGGGTACACTCCTCATCTCCAAGATCCGTGAGGAGTACCCAGACAGAATAATGAATACATACTCGGTGATGCCTTCGCCAAAGGTATCAGATACTGTTGTAGAGCCTTACAACGCCACCCTGTCTGTTCACCAGCTCGTGGAGAACACCGATGAGACGTACTGCATCGACAACGAGGCTCTCTACGACATCTGCTTCCGCACCCTGAAAGTAGCAAATCCCTCCTACGGCGATCTCAATCATCTCGTGTCCCTGACGATGTCTGGGGTAACCACCTGCCTCAGATTTCCCGGACAGCTCAACGCTGATCTCAGGAAATTGGCTGTCAATATGGTACCCTTTCCTCGTCTTCATTTCTTCATGCCAGGATTTGCACCATTGACTTCTCGCTCCATGCAGCAGTACTCAGCACTATCAGTTCCTGAATTGACTCAGCAGATGTTCGATGCCAAGAATATGATGGCAGCATGTGATCCTAGACACGGAAGGTATCTCACTGTTGCTGCTGTCTTTCGGGGACGAATGTCCATGAAGGAAGTTGACGAGCAGATGCTCAGTGTTCAGAATAAAAATAGCTCGTACTTTGTTGAGTGGATTCCTAATAATGTCAAGACTGCCTGTTGCGATATTCCACCCAAGGGACTCAAGATGTCCTCCACATTCATTGGCAATACCACTGCCATTCAGGAATTGTTCAAACGTATATCTGAACAGTTCACTGCTATGTTCAGGAGAAAGGCTTTCTTGCATTGGTACACCGGCGAGGGAATGGATGAGATGGAGTTCACTGAGGCTGAGTCCAACATGAATGATCTTGTTTCGGAGTATCAGCAGTATCAGGAGGCAACTGCTGAGGAAGACTTCGAGGCTGAGGAAGCTGCTGATGACTTTGAGACTTGCGAACAGGAGTAGGACAGACTGATTTTCGTTTTTTTTTCTCTATCTTATTTGTGATTTTTGGGGGTCAGGTTTTTCATTCTGCACTGAAAAAACATTTTTTGAAAAAAATTGTTTGACTTCGAGAGATAAAAATTAAAATTTTTATCGAAACCCTGATTTTTTGTAATACTTAAAGAATTAGTTTGGATTCGAGAGTGAATTTTTTAATGTTGAAATTCTTTTTTTAGTGTAACGGAATTGTTTATTCTTGTGTGGATAATCAATCTGGGGAGATTTTCATACTTTTTATAGAAATTTTGATGCGATTATTGAGGGTTTTTTTTTTAGAGGAATTGAGTGATTGAGATGCGTGTGATACAGCTGATTACCAAGAGACATGATATCTTATGATTTTAATATAATCTTTATACTCAGCACCAAAGTCTTTGATGAATAAAAATTGCACATTAAACATTGTTTCGTTTTAAAATTAATTTCTCCGATTAGATTCTGCGGGGATTTATTCCTCTTCACTGTCGTCATCAGAGATATCTTCAAATCCTGTTCCCTCCTGGTGCTGTTGATATTCAGATATCAGTTCGTGGAGTCCATCCTGGGCCTCGGTGAACTCCATTTCCTCCATACCCTCCCCCAGGTACCAGTGGACATAGGCCTTTCTCTTGAACATCGCACCGAAGGCCTCGGAAATTCTATTCAGTGGTTCTTGAATCGCGGTTGTATTCGAGATAACTGAAGCTGACATTTTGATTCCTCGAGGTGGAATATCGCAGATTGCGGTTTTTATGCAGTTGGGAATCCACTCCACGAAGTATCTCGAATTTTTATCTTGAATATTCCGCATTTGTTCGTCTACTTGCTGCAGAGGAGAAATTATTCCACGAATTAAATCCCAAGAATCATAATTACTCCAGTAATTTCTCCCTAATATTTCGGTAATTTAACTTTTATCTATACAATTCCGATTATTACGTGCGGTTTTCAAATAAATAATGATTAATTACATAATTAATATATAATTAATGACAATATCCAGTTATCCACAAGTCATGAAAGTTAAAACGCGAATATAATCGATTGAAAATATAATTTGAATAAAAATGAGGAGGTGCGCGCGCAGGGCGCGCCTCCGTGCGCCACCGCGTGCGGGATTCCCATGATTTTCAAATCGATTTGAATACTCGACTCGCGACACGCCAGATTGGTTTGATTAATCATACCCTCGTGGACATTCTGCCTCTGAAGATGACGGCAACAGTGAGATATCGTCCCCTGGTAGGATCACAGTCAGCGAAAAGTCCTTTAGCATCGAACACCTGTTTCGTCAGCTCAGGAACACTCAAGGCCCGATAGTCACGGGCCCCCCTGGACACCAGTGGTGCATACCCAGGTGCAAAAAAATGCAACCTGGGGAACGGCACCATATTGACAAGTATTTTCCGCAGATCTGCATTCAGCTGTCCAGGAAATCTCAAACAAGTTGTCACCCCCGCCATGCACATCGCCACCAGATGATTCGTATCCCCGTAAGATGGCTTTCTAAGTTTCAATATTCGCGTGCAAATTTCGTGCAGAGCCTGATTATCGATAAAAAAGGTCTCATGAGTCGTCGCGACAAGTCGATTAATGGAGAGAGTCGCGTTGTACGGCTCCACAACAGTCTCCGATATTTTAGCAGAGGGTAAAACCGAGTACGTCGATACTATCCTGTCTCCATATTCTCCCCTGATATTCTCCAGAAGTAGAGCACCCATTCCTGAGCCTGTCCCACCACCCAGTGAATGGACCACTTGAAATCCTGAAATTATCAGCACAAATCATCATTCTTATTTTTTTTTTGCTCAATTGAATTGATCACTTTGAATCACAGCTCAACGATGATTGCATGATTGTCGTGTCATGAGGGGATTGTGTCCTGGCTATTACAGATGGTTTAGACTGTTATGCATACAAATGATGAGAGGTATCTGGTGCAAGTGGTAAATACTAAATGTCACGTAAGAAATGGGTAATCCTGAAGATTACGTGTACGTATTTTTTATTAAATTTCTGTCAATTTCATTGGTAGTAATCCGAGTTGATTCAACTACTCAAATATTTGAATTTAATTTCGAGTCTCGATTGTGAAATTGAGAGATATCACTTCCGACCGGTTCCAGGGTCTGGACAAACTAGAAATTTCATGGGGAATTCAGTGCAATTGGATTTTAGATAATTACATTTTATTTTTAATATTAAAACATGACATCATGATGATTCATTACATTTTTGTCTCCATGAAATTAATTAGAGAATTCAAAAAAAGAATGAAAATTAATCATTTTGGATCCAGGAATTCCAGGAATTTACCCTGAATCATGTCGCAGGTCTCAGCCTCCCTGCGTATGAGCTCCAGAGTATGATCCATAATTTCTGCTCCTTCGGTGTAATGACCTTTTGCCCAATTATTGGCGGCTGGTGCTCGTCCTGATAAAACATTATCTGGACTGAAAAGACGACCGACAGTGCCGGACATCGCCGTGGCGAGACTGGACTCGTCCAGGTCCACTAGGATGGCCCGGGGAACAAATCGTCCACCTTAAAACGCGATCGTTTTAATTAATAAATTTTTTCTCTAAGGAATTCCAAAATAACGAGCAATTTCACAAGGTGAATGACATATCCTATTGAAGTAATCATCAAACCTCTCGCTTCCGTGAAAAATACATTCATCCTCTCCAATTGTAGATCGGATTCCCCGCGCCAATTTCCCGAGCAATCAACTCCATGCTCGTCAGCAATTACTTCCCAAAACTGGCAACCATTAATGTCATCATGATAACCTGATAATGCAAACTAATTTATTCAATTACCCGACAGCCGATTCCATTTCCACACTGTCCGATTTGAACGTGAACAATCTCCCGCATGATTTCCTGTAATAGGTAAATCAGAAATTTGGGAATTGAATTTTTTTTAATGAATTTGATGAACGAAAGAAAACCGAGAACAAATGATGACGATTATAAAAAATCACGAACACGCGTTCATTATCCAGCGACATACGCAATATTATTTGTCCTCGTACCCGATGAGATAATGCATGATTGCCAATTTTTTCCAAGGCCCAAGTTCTATCAGCCTGAGATATTTTGTCAGTCAATGATAAATCCACCACGTGTCCCCCACGAGAAAATAATCACAAGATGAATTCACCGGGGGGTAAAGCCCTGACTGTTTTCCAAGAATATCTCCCAATCAGAGGGAGATAGCGCAATATTTCCCGGTATCTCTTTTGTAGAGGGAAAGTAGAGCTATAAAAAATGTCCCTACAACAATTTCGTCAATTCTCATCGTTTCAGAGATATTCCCTGACAATCGTCGATTGCTTGAATCGATCGCTCCATTTTTCTCTCTCCGCGGAATTTTTTTGTCGAAAATAAAAAATGCACACAATGAATTAAAATGAAACGATAATAAAGAAGACAACACAGAATGAAGACTTGATGTATTCCGAAAATCCGGGGATTCTACAAAAAAATCCAGAATAAAAATGGGTGAAAAGGTTGAAAAATCAGAATGAGGGCCTCAATCGTCATCGACGTAGTCATCAACAGCTGTGACCTCCTGGTACTGCTGATACTCAGCGATAAGGTCCCCCATGTTGGACTCGGCCTCAGTGAACTCCATCTCATCCATTCCCTCCCCGGTATACCAATGAAGAAAAGCTTTTCTCCTGAACATCGCAGTGAACTGATCATAAATCCGCCTAAAGAGTTCCTGAATAGCCGTAGAGTTTCCGATGAAGGTCGCCGCCATTTTCAACCCCCTCGGTGGTATATCACAAGAAGCTGTTTTGACATTATTAGGAATCCACTCACTAAAATATGGATAATTTTTTTTTTGAGTATTGAGCATCTGCTCGTCGATTTCCTTGACGGACATCCTCCCCCGGAAAATAGCGGCAACAGTCATGTATCTTCCGTGCTTAGGATTGCATGCAGCCATCATGTTCCTGGAGTCGAACATCTGCTGGGTTAATTCAGGAACTGAAAGGGTTCTGTACTGCTGACAGCCGCGTGATGTCAGCGGAGCAAAGCCAGTGATAAAAAAATGAAGACGAGGAAAGGGTACCATATTGACAGCCAATTTCCTGAGGTCAGCATTGAGCTGTCCAGGGAACCTGAGGCAAGTGGTCACCCCCGACATCGTCAGGGATATCAAATGATTGAGATCCCCATATGATGGGGTGGGCAGCTTGAGAGTGCGAAAGCAAATGTCATAAAGTGCCTCATTATCAATGCAATAAGTCTGATCCGTATTCTCAATGAGTTGATAACAGGACAGGGTGGCATTGTAGGGCTCGACAACCGTGTCCGAGACCTTCGGCGATGGCACCACTGAGAACGTTGACATGAGCCTGTCAGGATACTCCTCCCGAATTTTTGATACCAATAGTGTACCCATACCCGAGCCAGTGCCACCACCGAGGGAGTGGGTCAGCTGAAATCCCTGGAGACGATCGCAGTTCTCGGCCTCTCTCCTGACAACTTCGAGAACAGCATCGGTGAGCTCAGCACCCTCGGTGTAGTGGCCCTTGGCCCAGTTGTTACCAGCACCGGATTGTCCAAATACAAAATTATCGGGTCGAAATAGCTCGCCGTATGGTCCTGATCGCACTGAATCCATGGTACCTGGCTCCAGGTCAACGAGAACAGCCCTAGGTACATATTTTCCCTCGTACGCCTCGTTGTAGTACACGTTTATCCTCTCAACTTGCACAGCTGAGTCACCCTGGTACTTGCCAGTGGGATCTACACCGTGCTCGTCAGATATCACCTCCCAAAACTGTTGTTTATGAATTAATCAATAGGTATTGTTTGTTAATGACTCGTACTCAATTGGGATAATTGATGGTTTGGGATACTGACCTTCGCGCCGATCTGATTTCCGCATTGGCCTGCCTGAATGTGTACTATCTCCCGCATTTTGATAACGAATTTTAATCGCAACTGGTGATTAATTGACTTGGCGAATTATTTCAGAACTACTCGATTATTACTGAACGGTGAATTTGTGGGATTTATTGCCGGAAGTTTTTCCCTTGAGTTTCGTTGACGAGAACAAAATGAGAGCGAAAAATATTGGAAATAAATGGCGATCATGTTTACCTTGACAACTACGATTTTAATAGAATGCCTGTTGCTGTGATTAATCAGGGGGCGGGTAATTATTCAGTTGATACGAATAAATAAAACAATAACTGGATGACACAGACAGACTTTAGAAAGGAAGTACATTATAATGAATGGAAAAAAATAAATACAATGCGTTCCTATACTGATATTATAATACAAAGTCATTATATTTCTCAGTTAAAATCATTTTGCTGGCGTTGATTTTATTCGGATATCCTGGGGATCATTTTCTCCCGCGCAGATCAACGAATACTTCGGCGCTGTGGATTCTCTTTTGTCCCTCGGTCTTACCGGGGATTTCGTCAGTGTTTTTAGTGACATTTAAGTTGTCTGTCACTTCTTCGTTGGGGGTGGGCAATAGTCGGCCCATTTGCTCCATGTTCTCAGGGGTTCCTGACTCGGCCAGTGCCGCTTTTCCACTGAATGCTGTTCGACTTCCAGGGCGTCCGTTCACGAGATATCGCAGGGGTAACGACTCTCGTCTTCGGGTTTTTGTCTTTGTGCGTCTGGAAATTTTGATATTCTCAATTTTCATGGACTCTTCATTCACTGGAGAAGCAACTCCTTCTCGCGATAATTATTTCTTTTGAATTTGAATTTTTTATCATGAAAATAACGAAATTTTTTAAATAAGTGAATATTCTGTGAATAGTCTATTCTTTGGGAATTGATAAATATTTTTTGGACTCGATGTTTAGTGATAAAAAGGTATAAAAACTGGTGATAATTACTCTGGAAGAGTGGGACAAGACCAGAGCTTGAAATCAGCCCCAAACATCTCTCCCTCTTCGATAGTCTGTGGCAGATGTATGTTGAGGGTCTCTGGTAAAAAAATAGACGTTAATGCACCAGCAACACTGAGTGTACCCATCACAATCAGTGGTAATACTCTGGAGTAAACAGCTAGGTTGACGATGTATGGGAATGTCAGTAGGCCGATTCCGGCGATGAACGAGGCGATTCCCATGGCCTGGGACCTCAACACCGTTGGCAATAACTCACCAACGAAAACGTAAAAAACAGCAAACGATGCGGCTATACCAAATTTACCGATCATTGCCAGGGAAACAGTTACCCAAACAGCATCTGGAATATTTTGCCCCATCAATTGGTGTCATTGATTGATCAGATTAAATTCTGGGATCGATGGTACCGATTTATCATAAATCAGTGGGAGAGGTGGTGCATTCTTTTGATACTCACCTTCAGGTACAAACATACAGGACACACAAGCAACACCACCCAGCAGCATCGTCAAACACAGGACCCATCTCCTGCCCAATCTGTCCATGGCGTACCAGGTGATGACGTAGGACGGTATCTCCACGATGCCTCCTGCAAAATTCACCCACATCATCAGAACACTCATTCGATCAACGGATTATCCAGAGTGATGCTATTATTATCAGCTGTATGCAAATCGTTTGGTGGAATTTAAAGTGAAATTGCTGGTATGACCTTCAGTCACGCGACAACGCAACTAGGGGACGGGGTAAAATGGTAATTTTTTTCTGGTGCTAAAACGTCATTCAATTACTTGAAATTGTACGAAATTGAAAATTTGGTTTTTTGTACTGGGAATGTTTTTTTTTTCCTGGGAAATTTTCCATTGGATTTATCTGTTTTATATTGTTTGAAGTTCAATTAGAAGAAAAAATAAATGGAATAGCGAGTGGATAGTTTGGATTTGGACGGGATCTCGCAGCTGATGAGCTTCACAAATATTTAGAATGAAACGCAATCAATTGTACAGGACAGCTTTTACGATTGAAAATGCGATTGTATGTGACTGCGAGTGCAGTTGAACGGGAAAATTGTCAACATGGAATTGAATTTACCTATGAAGAAGGCAAGGTAATCGGATACACCGAGGTTCGTTGTGTTGTAGGACAGTCCATTGTACACAACGGCATTTGCCACCCAGTCAAACGCTAGGATGATGAATTTTTTACGAATATTTGGATTTGTTATAATGTCCATTGGAGTTGCTGATGGTGGTGGTGGTCTGTCCTCTGATTCTCCAGTTGCCAGAAGATTTTCAGAGTTTCTGCCATTGCAGGAGACACCCTGTCTCTTCATAATCTCCATCTTGAATGTAAATCACAGGGATATCACGTTGTTATCAGTGATAACTGATTTACTCACCTCCATTTTCCTCAGAAAATTCGTTGGCACGGTCTTGCCATTCACTCTAGCCATGTGCTGCACGATAACTTCAGCCTCGTCTATCCTATTTTTACTTAACAACCATCTGGGACTCTCGGGGATGATCCACCAGTAGCTGAAGAGCAGGATAAAGGGTACGGATGTTGCCAAGGACAGGGTGTACCAATTCCTCAGCAAATATCCCTGCAAGTGTCAATTTTTCAATTTGTATGCACCAGCTCCATGGGCAAAAAAACAATAACAAATTCCGGAACGTAGTAATTAAATAATTAATTGAAACCCCTCGTGAATAATAAATTAATTTCATCCCATTTTCGCCACAATTTTTTTTTAACAATAGTTTCGCATTTGACTAGGGCGGCCATTTGGGATTCCCCGAAATATAGAAATAAAGGCAGAGGATTTTTATTAGTTTTTCACGCATTTATTTATATTTATATGATTTTTATAATTATTATTAATCGTGATCGAGGGGAAATTAAGATGTTAGATTAATTAAATTCTGTTTGGAATCAACTCCAGATTTTAATTTCAAAAATTCATGGCGGGGTTATACTACTTCGATCGCGCAACAATCTATGTACGCAGTAATTTCACACAATTTATCCATTTGTATGCACAGCTGCAGGGGCAATGCGAATACAATGTTCATCAGAATTGACAATTATCGAGAAAACGGTGTGTCAAAGTTAAAAAATTCAATTCTCGTCAACAAAAGTCTCTTGGAACATATAAATTACGCGATTAGCGATTTTAAATTATTCCTCTTGATTACTAATGATGGCTGACGGTTGTTCTGCGCAGAAAATAAATTGCACATGGATGGGAGAAATTCTTCAAAAGAATTCAACATAAAAATTTAAAAATACGCCAGGGGAATTCACGCGGAAAATTTGGCGGATCTCGCGGATCTCGCGGATCTCGCGAATCTCGCGAATCTCAAAATTCATCAATTCTTTATCTTTTTTCGTTCAAATATTCCAAATAAAATAAAAATAAATTAAAATTTCGAATGCTTTTAATTAATTAAATCTCATTACTCACTAGTAGCGCAAGTAGACACATTGCGGTGGCGAAAAACATGCTGATTCCCATTCCAGCGAATGTCCTGTACCTGGGGCCCATCAATTCAAGGGCTAAAAACGAAAATAAATTAGCCAATCCCACCAGCCCAATTAAAAAAACAAACTAAAAATAATCAGTCACCTAATATGAATGGAATCTGATAAATGGCGGGGAAAAATAGGCCATTGATGGTCCTGAGGGCTGTGTAAACAGTGTAATTCGGACTGAAGCTCGTTGCAATCGCGAATATCACCTCCAGGAAGAGAATCGAGAAAAATGCCGTTCGTCTTCCCCATTTATCAGCAATCCATCCAAAAATAATATTACCGAATAGACTTCCTACGTAGAAAAATGTTGTCGATGTGGATGGTAACCAACTGTTGTCACATACGAGGTCTAGCTACGTGGATGGAAAAATTCCATTAAGATATTTTATAATCGAGTGAATAACTCTCACACAACAATCTATTAAAAATATTTCAACCGAATGCTGTAACTGATGGAATTGAAAAAAACATTATTCATTAAATCCTGTATTTTATTAAAAGCCATACAATATTATCGATTGGAATTTATTGGAGTGCATAAATGAATCAAATTACGAAATTATGTGGTAATTATGTGGTAATTATGTGGTAATTATGTGGTAATTATGTGGTAATTATGTGGAAATTATGTACGAATTATGTGGTAATTATGTGGAAATTATTTACAATTAATGGTATATACCCCAAATTTATATTGAAAAATATATTTTCAGTGTATCCCTTTGTAATTTCGTTTTTCCACAGGAATTCAGTGGTGCCGAATTTTCTTGTAATCATCGGGGAATCAGCTGGAATTTTCGCTCTGATTGACTGATGTGCGTTGGACAGGAACCGAGTTTTATTACTGTACATGAAGGCACACCGTACGCACAATCGCAAACGATTTTAATTCTCAATAGGGAGACGATAAAATAATTATTGAATAAATCATGGAGAATTGAACTGATGCCAGATGATCATCGATCTTATTCCTGGGGTCTTAGGAGAAAAATAAAGTGGCGTGCACAGTTTATTGCCACTACCGCTTTGTGTGATGCATGCCAATGTGTCCGGGAATATTGATGGTGATGGTGTTGGTGGCTCCCACAGTGGAGGTGTCCATCACCCTCAGTTGACAGGAGGAGCGTGTGTCCCCCGTTTTACCTCGACATCAGCCTCAGACCCCCTCGACTTTGTAAAAAAAAAAAAACCCCCCCCTTCCATTGCCTGTCCTTCTAGCGTTAAAATTATCAGATATTCTCCGACAGATTTTTTGCAAACCAAGGCGTTTCGCTAAATAACTTTCGCTCCCGAATTACGCAAAAGTTATGCAATTTTTATTTAAGAATTTGCAGTGACAATTGACGCATCTCTTCGCTGTCAGCTGTTTCTCGTTTATAATGGATTATCCTTGTGATTTGCATTGTCGAGTGACACTTGTCGATGAGCATTTGCAATTAGATGGATTCCACTCTTTTATGGAAGCTTTTTCAATTTTCCGACGATTTTGCGGATGGATAAAGTGGCGAACTAATCATCATCGTGATTTTTTACAATTGCACGGAATAATTGAGAAGAAAAAGCGAGAATTCATTGCTCCTCCATTTATTTCAACAGATAAACAATGAATATATTTTCTCAATGTAGAAATAAATAGAAAACGAAATGATTAAATGTAATTTGAAATTACGTGGAAAAATAACTAGGAAAATAATGTTGCTAGAGAGAATTCTTGAAAAATCATCGATAAAATGTTGAGGCTTGAGGTTTCCTGAATGTTTGAATGAAAATCCAGGAAGATACAGTCTGCAAAAGGGAAAGAAGCCAAATGTCTTTTGGCATTGGGACAATGGAGACGGGTAAACGAGCATGTCGAAGACATTTCCATAATCCACGAGAGAAAAATGTACAACACTGGAACAAACTCGTGTCTTTGGCCGATTGCCCATTGAGGAAGAGGTGCAACCTGAAATCCTCTGGGTAAATTCAGACAGTCACGGACAGTTCACTCGTGTGTGGTATTACGACTTAATGCCCAACAAACAACAAGTGCCAAAATACAAACGTGATGTGCACCAGTGCCTGGGGGCTAAATCGTTGAGGTGCAACATAACGGGATGAACTCTATCCGATAAGTAGATAATGACTCTTCACTAATCTCTTCTCTGACGCACTCAGTGTAACTACTTGTAGTGAATACTCTTGAACGGATTAAATCCTCATTTCGTTGGAAATTTGATACTGCTAAGCTGCTATTTCCGTTTCAATTGTCATTTTTATAAAATATCACTTTCATCTTACGGTTAATCACAATCAATTCGAATTTATTCCACGAAAAAAAGGGTGTCAAGGATAATTGTGATTTGTAGGGGGAGGATAAATTGAAAATTTAATAATTTCCAGGAATTTTCAACGTTAACGTGATAATTCAATTCCTCAAGATTCAATTCACCTTTTTCTGATTTTTTTTTTATTTTATGGCAATGAATATTTACGGTAATTCAATAATTATAATTTTTTTCATTCAATCTCAAAAATTTCAGTTTCTTTTTCGATGATTAGGGTACCATATTATTAATTAGGAATTGATAATAATATTACTCCATGAATTATTTATTGTTTATTTTTTATTAATTTCTAATTGACGAAGAAAAATTGATAGGAAATGGGTGAAACCATGGGTGATGTCGTCAGAGGTGTGAAAATAAAATGGCGGGATATCGTCGGACGGAATAAGGAGCTGCACCCCTGATTACCGTCGGATTAAATTCATCGAATTCCCTGGGTAACCCAAATAAATTCCAAGAAACGGAAGTAAAGTAGTTACCGGAAGGTCTAAATCTGTGCATGGTACACGTAACGTAAATACTGGGTACAATCGAGTCAGTGTAACCCCGAGTACTCCATATAGGTATAACAAGGTGCGTACACACATGCATTGCTCGAGTGTTTGATGTGACATATCACATGACCGGATGTGGGGGTAGGTAAATTGGTCGGCAATTGCTGACGCCACTAGAGGCCTCCTGCAGGGAAAATAAAAAATAAAAAAAAAAAACGATAATCCACACCGTCGAGCTGACTCTTTCCCCACACCACCAAGATTCAACCCAAGAAAGATCCAATTAAATTTTCCATTACCTCAAATCCCAGTAATTCAATGAAATCAGTTAAACTCCATTTATCAATTTTCCTGGATAACTGGATGATGCGTTGACGCATCCCCCCAATCTCTCGAAAAAATCAGTGACGAGTAAAACCGTGAGCTGGTGACGATGAAATATCATCTGATCGCGTGCAACTCATCAACTCCACCAATTCCCCTTGATTTTTTTTACACTCATTAATAAAATTTTCCACGAATGTGCGAAGTAAAGCGCCACATCAACCACTTGTCACTAACCAGAGACAAAACGTGTGAAAGGCCAAGGCGATAAACTCCACTGCTGGAATTATTTTAATCACGTGGTGTAAAAATTGTACGAGCGTGTGTACAACGAGTTTAACTCCAGTGTAATGCAATCTAAATGATCAAGCGTCGTTAGACCGAGTTGGTTAATATTCCCATGTGCATTATGCAAATTGTTTACATCAGCATCGAAATTCACCCACGTGCCCCAAAATATTTCCCTCTGACCGGACAATCAGAAAGACAAGGGGATTACAAAGGGGATTACGGAGGAGATTACAGAGGGGATTACAGAGTAGAAAAGACGGGGAAACCCGTATCTGTCACTGAATTGTGTTTGAAATTATTTCCGTTTGACTCAGTGACTCGAAAAAAAAAAATTTAACGAGCCTAGCAATTGACTGAAAAATCGTATCAAGAATCTCGTGTGTGATTCCCCCATCCAAACACTTCACCAACAATCCGACAATCAGACAATCCTGATCTCTTATTTTCCCCAAATCCTTTTCCCGACGCGTTTCCAAATTTTTATCAATGAATTCCTCAGTCGAGGGTTCATTCACAGAATTACCGAAGCTCGGGGGTTCCCTAGATGTTTTTTTTTGAGAGAATAGTTCATGATTAGTGATTGAATGATGACAAAGGGTGAAATAAGAGGGTTTTACCTCTGTAACTAGTGTACTCTCGTAATCTCTCTTATCGTAAATCCATCCATGAAGACACTTGGTTTTTGGCCAGTCAGTGTCGCTCACTGGTGGTGCTGGTAAGCTAGTTAATGAACCCGTGGCATTAACCCCAGTGTGCCTCAGCCAATCCTCGATGATAGCTGTGTAGTTGACGTCGTACATGTAGCACCTGGAGAACTGACGTCTACCATCAGACTTGTACTCGTAGGGTAGAGACAGCTCTTTTCTCGATTGAAGACTCAGGATATTCGTCATGTTCTCCAGCTCTGGTATCCTGCACCAGTGCTCAGGCGAGGCGCTAACGAATACCTGAAGATTTAATTAAGTAATCCATTAAATAAATTCTTGAAAAACCCCCAATTAAACCATCTCCATTAATCCTCTTAAATCCCACCAATTGCAATTAAAAAATCAACGACTTCTTCAGGTTCAGGTAATTATTATCACAGAAATATGTCCGAGTATTCGATTTTTCAGTGGAAAAATAGTTAATAATTCGAGGGAAAAGCGGAGACAATGAATTAGTGGATATAATTATTTGATGGTGATGATTACCTGTGAGAAAGCGAGAAATGCCGCTGGAAGAGTTGCTGGTATGCACAGAAGATAATACATGATATTCTGATATCTTCCCTTCTCACCCACGTGTACCAGCACCTCGTCAAAGTCTATGGAGCTCATTGTTCCCGTGGGAGATAGCAATACTCTCCCGGTTTAGATCCACCGTCAATGACGTACTGTTCGCCTGGTTTATTCACCAGGTCAGACGGCATGTCCGTCCACTCATTCTCACTGATCACCCCTCACTGATTTATCAATTCCCGATAATCTCCAATACTATTGAATAATCCTCCACCAATTCACTTATCCCAACTGACTAAAGCTGGACAAATCGTCAATAACTTTTACATAAGTCTCAACACTTTTAAAAACAGCATCATTGAGTGAATAATTGATAAAAAACATGACGGGTGGAATCGGTATTGTCGTTTTATTCACTGACACTTTTTTATTATTTATTATTTATTTGGATGTTTCACACGAGTTCAGCAATTGCAGAAATTAACCATGAGATAATTACATCACCCTGTCTCCTTGTCCCAGTGGATCATTAATACTTCACTCTTCTTCCCGGTGAATGATAGAGACACGTGAATTATCAAGTTTGTTAACACGAGGATTGTCATAATCACATGGTTACCGGGGTCTTGGGTTGGTGAAATTGTCAGCCGTTGTTACCTGGTGTTGACATCTTCTTTATTGCAGTTATCATTATCATCTTGGACTCTTTAATTCTCGGAAGATGATGTTTAAGTCATTCTGGGTGTCGATGGATCTGGAACACGGAAGCAGAACAGAGGGAGGATCTCAACTGAGGTTCATGTCGTCGCGGGTTTGTGAACAACCCGACATTCTCGTAAGCAACACGTACGCACGCGGACAACTTATCGGTGACGTTCAATCACTCGTTACCGTCTCTGACGTCTTTGGGGTTCTCTCGACGCCAGTGCGTGTGCACTGGCATTTTTTTTTTTTTTTTTTTGGGAGCAGTTGCTGTTTTTGAGGATCAAAGACATTCAATGGGATTTCGTTTTCCTCAGGAAATCACCCATCTGGTGGACTGGAGAATCAGAAGTCCTTCAGATTAATTCAGAGGTTTCTTCAGAAGAAATTGCGCGATTAAATCACTTGTCTATTATTTTTTTATTCGCGTTTTACTCTAGATTTTTCAGCGGTACATGTTTCTGGATTCGATTGGATTATCGAAAATTTGGCTGGCGGTTTTTGGATTTTAATTGGGAATTGATTGGTGTCGTAATTCGATGGTTGAGGGATGGAATTTTTTGTTTAATTTCTCTTTCGATGGAAAAATACGGGAAAGATGAGATGGAGTTGATAAATTTGGGTTTCCTCAAGGTTCATGGGGCAGCTTCCGGTCGGTGGACCGAATACTGAAGGCTCTTCTGGTGTGGCGATCAAAGAAATTGGAATTTCCCGGGTGACGCGTTTAGTCTCCAACCCGTCGTCAACCCTCGTCAGTCAGCAATAGAAGTGTCACATTTAATTCAACGTCACACAGTAATTCTGTCGAACGTGAAAGAATTTTTCCGTCAATATCACGAATAATTCAAATTCCTATCATTATCAGTGCGTAACAACTCCAAATGATTGCAAACAAAGAGACACTCGGATTTCTCGTAGCGTACGTTAACGCCGACGATTTTCCGACGCGTGTCCTGGTGCACACAATTTTTAATCGTCAACAACTCGAGAAGGGCTAGAGAATTTTCCGATTTTCTGAGTCAAAGACTCCGAATTTTTTTGGTGTTCGAATGATTGATTCAGCAGTGAGTGATTAAACGAGTGGATCTCGCGGTTCGCGCAGTTTTTCGCGAATATTTCCCACCCCGAGGGCAGCACTGAAATTTTTGTAATAACCTTTTTTCCAGGTCTCGACTAGATCTCTAAAAAAGGTGATAACAAAAATTTCATTATCTCTGGTAGTTTCGGAGATATTCCCGAAATGCTCGGAGCACTCGCGTCCATTTATCGATTTTTATCACTTCGGGGATTCTGACGGTTATTTATGAATTAATTAATAACTGAAGGATTTTTTCTGATTTATTTATGATAATTATGGAATCAATCGGATTGTGGCCGGAAATAGAGAGATCCGAATAAATATTTCGAAAATAATTCAACGAATAACCGTAATTGCTGAAGCAATTAGTGACAACTGGAGTAATTCAGACACTGATTAGAACCCCTGGGAGCGTGCAATTGTCAATTCCCGATAAGGCGAAACTAAATAAAAATTGCACAACTGATAGGCCAAGGAAAACGTATCGATCTCATTCGCTCGAATGTACACAATGCTTCTTCTCATTCGGGATCTGCGCTACTTGTTCCCCACATCTACGTCACATCGCCCACCCATTCCAACTTTATGTATATAATAAAAACAACGTGTGTACTTTATGTACCGTGTGACCAGCGTGAGAACACTTGCGAAACTAGATGAAAAAAAATAAAAACGCACACACGACAGATGATACGCGACAAATGCGACGCATGACCCGCGACACAATAATTCAAACGTCTTGTCTATTCCATTATTTTTTATAATTTTATAATTTATTATTAAAAAAATGAATGAAATGTCCGACAATAATTTCAGGTGATCTATTGAACAATGAAAAAATTTCTCAATTTTAAATAATTTTGTACTGTCAATTTTCAATTATCAATTCAGCGGATGATTTCGCGTGTTAAAAAATTGGACGACTCCTTGAGTAACAATTTACTTAATTAATTACTGTATAATCAAACCCTATACCTTCGTCATAAAATCCAAGCCCCAAGTGTTGTGTTTACCCGCGGTAAAAAATATCGCACGTAATTCAAGTAACTCTAGACAATTGTCGTCATTACGTCGGGCCTCAGCATTAGGGTTTTAATTTACAATTCGTAATGCCTTACATTGAAATTCATTACAATCATAATCTGGATAATTATGTTGTCTTTAATAAGAGAGATTAATAAAATGGGGAATCACAAGAAATAGAAATGGTGTTTTATAAAAAATTTGAACTGTCAGTCCCCCGAAATCTCCACGTGGATTTAAACAGACAAATAATTTCCTCTGAAGAGATCCTTTCAGGTACCGCCGCAACATTTATTTACTATCCCTTGAATGAATTATATATTCTCATAAACTGGGTAATTATTAACATTGATGAGTAATAAATTGATGAATGACAAAAAAAGAAATGAAATTTTACCAGAACGACGGATTGACAGTCCCAAGACCTCCGCGTGGATTGAAAAAAAAAATAAATAGATTCCTCCGGAGATATCCTCTTGGAGAACACCACAACAATTATTTACTGTTCCATGAAAATCATTGGCCAAGGTATTAACAGGATTGAAATAGAGATTGCGCAGTGATGAGCGGTAAAATCGCGGATACGAAGAGCGGCACTCGGAAGTTCGGTAGTAGCCACGGACACTCTTGAACGAATCAATCGAATCACTGCACCATCCGACATCCGGTCCCCCCGGGTGTGCGTGTACCGACGTCAAATAAAACCGATAAAAATTCGAGAAAAAAAAAAAAGGATAAAACGCCTCATCAACCGGAAAATAAACAATTTTCCGAATTAACCCGTGGAAATGGTTCCCAATACCGAGATCTCAACACCTCCAATCTCCCAATCGATTGATTCCCAATCTATCCAAACGATTTCCCCACAAATTCCTGTGCAATTAAGATTAATTAAGTGATTGGATGCTGAAGCCGGTGGCAACGGTTTAAAGATTTATTTAATTATTCTAAAACTACGGTAATGGGTAAACTACAAACTCTAGACGTAGCATGTAGTTTCCATCGCGAACTCAAACTGAAACAACGTGCAGAGGGGCCCATCTATCCCATCCTCCTATCTATCATTTTGAGGCCTCCCTCCCTCCTCTATATACACAATATTTCACATCTTCTTCTTTGTTTTTTGTCATTTTTTCTCTCACTCACTGGTAAAGTCACTTGGCTTCAAACTCCACCTCCCATTATTCAAACACCAATACACGGATACTAAACATGTCCACTTCCAACACGATTTCCATCTCCTCGCTTTAGCCCTCCGGTCTCTCCTCGCCGCTGTGCCCTCACGAGGTAACTCATCCACTCGACTATTAATATAAAAGGGGTTCCTCCAGCACTCCGTAACCAGTAATTTGTTCGCGGTTCAAGTTTGCCGATTCATTTTTATCAATCAAATTGTTATTTGTTTTTTTTTTCACCTCAATTAATCGTCTCCATGAATTTTTAATTTTTTTAGCAGATTCTCGGATCAGCTGGGGAATTATGGAATTTCATCATTTTTTATTTTCGCAGATCTGTTTTTATGATTTACATGATTTAGAATAATTTCTGGTATCGATTTTTTTTTTAGCCATGATGAGCAGATTTTTATGTCGTAGTATTTGGAGTTTGCGGATTGCTTTCGGCTTTTTATGATAATTTCAAGAATTATTATTGAAGTTCATTTAGAATGTAATTGAGATTTGTTATGCAGCTCTCGTGCGAAGTCTCGAAATTGCAATTACCATGTTGTTTACTAGTTTTACGCGGTCCCCACGCAAGAATTTCCATAACGACATTCTAACTTCTGTTTCAATCGTGTACAGAGGAAGATTTATAGAGTATCATGTCTGGTTCGAGTTACTAGAGTGGAAATTCGTGCTGAAAAATGTTGGAGAGACACGTACCGATAAATTCAATGCAGCAATAGAGATTTGTGATAGAGCATCGAGTCATAACGGAATAATTTAGGTCCAACGACTTTGATTTAGATGAAAGAAAAACTTTCCGCATTTTTATGCCTCGAATTTTTATTCGTCATTTATCGGTATTCCATTCTCGAACACGTGTCAATCGGTTCTCTGTCCCGAATTTTTGGATTTTCCCAATCGTACAAATAGTCAGAGCAAATATTTACGGGTTGTACTATCTTATTTGAATTATTCCCGTGAAAAATAGTCTGAAGAACTTGTCGGTGAACCGCCAGTCTTTGAATTCTCCTCAGTGATGTATCTCCACTCGAAAAACCCCACGCAAATGAATAAATTAATAATAAATAAAATATTGCGATAGTAACTAAGCATTATCTTAAATAATTAATAATTTTTTAACACTAAGAAATCAATCAAATTTCATGAACGCAGAAACCTTTCCTGATGCGCTTGAGTTTTTCCAAAAAATCTCCTAAACGAGCAAAAATTTCAAAATTTTCGCAATAACCTTTTTTGCAGTTCTGAATCAGTTCTACAAAAAATGTTTTTACAAAAAAATCGCTGTCCCCCTTGATTTCGGAGATATTTCCAAAAAATTCAGTCTGTAGTTTTACGATTTTTAATTTTTTTACGGTCGCATCCCTGCGCATATTGCTGCGCATCAGTCGTTATGGGAACCCCAGAGCCAAGATGGCGTCCTCCAGCTGTTATCCACTGCACAGACGAGTGTTCCTATAAAAACTCACGTGAAAATTGTACGAATTATCATGAAACCGAGTGATTAAAATATGGTGAAGGTGCAAAGAGTGTCAGCAATACGTGGAGCGGCGCCTGGAGCTTGGGAAATAGCTTCTGAGGATTCCAGCGTCGAGAGTGATCCCCTGCCCAGAGAAATGGACATAAAAACCTCTGACTTCGACAGACCAGGTATTTCCACATTCCTTCGAAACACCGGACGTATTCCAGAACCCTCCAGGAGTCCAAATTCCCTCCCAAAGGCTGATTTCATAATGAAATGGCTGATGGCCTCAGAAACCGAGACCTCCCAGAATTCATCCTTGACTTCAGTGATCTGTGACAGCCCCCCAGGGTTGAAGAGAGCCCCGAGGTCACCCCTTCGTCAGTTGAATGAATTAAAACGTCCCAGGATGATGGAGGAACCTGGGGATTCCTCACAGAGAGGAATCAACTCCTTGACGAAACAATTAACCTCACCTCGAGCCTCTAAACACCTCAAGGAGAATTTCGAGGGCTCGGACAGTCCTCGGATCTCAGAAAGAATCTCGAGGGTGTCGTCCCCAAGGAATACTCAGGAGAGCATAGAAACGACGACTTCCCTGTCTCCCAGGTCGAAGTTAGCAGCTTGTAGAGCTGTTATTTTCGGCGTTAACCTGAGAGAAAGTTCTCGGACGGAAAAAATTCATGGGGAATCACCTCGGAGGATCAAGGAAAACACTCCACCACTCTTGGAGGAACCACTGGAGGCTTTGATCTCCCAGTGTGACAGTCCTACAGCCGGAATTATCGAGATTGAATCCTCGTCTCCGTCGCACACCTCTGAACCCCCCAGGATTGTCGATGTTCTCTCTATCAATTCGTCACGGAAGTCTAGGGTCATCGATTCCAGCGATGAAAACACTCTGGAGGAAGTTTTGAGTGCGGGCTCTTCGAGCTTCGACAATGACGAGGGTTGCGATAAAACCATGGAGGCACTCATCGAAGACCCTGACGATTTCTCGCAGGTCGATGATCATTTCGGGAAGGGAGTCGAGGGTTTTGCGGTCCACTCTCAGGACTCTGATAGAACGTATTATTCAGGGGCCAAACCAGTGGAGCGACTCATCATCGAGGAGTTGTCTCAGAAAATATCTGAGGCTTCGAGCATTCAAGTCTCGAATGTCAAGTCCAGTATGACCATTAGTGATAATTCAGCTAGTGCAGAGGCTTCTCCATCGTCCAGAAGGAATGATAACGAGATTTATCCCACAATCGGAAATAAAATTGGAAAGAAGAAAAAAGCTAAAAAGTAAATCATAACAAAAATCAATTAATTTGCAATTAATTGGCAATCAATTTAGATATTCATTTAAATATTAATTCTATTTTATTTTTAATTGCAGAGGATCGTTGCTTGAGAAATTTCAGACATTGATCAACGGAAAAATTTCGTTTCTACGTATATGGCGCCATCAAATGGCCCAGGGACATTTCAAAGGGACCTGCAATCAATGTGTGATAATGAGAATAAAAAAATTCTCAACTTCATATGGAAGGCCTTATTTTCAAGGGCCAGTCATCAGGGATTCATTAAATCTTTTGGGGAGAGTGATTAGTTCATCAGACTTGAGTGCTCCAAATATCTCCAGTGAATCACTGAGAAGGACTATTACTGTTTTAACGATTCCAGAAATTGTGGGGCAAGTAACCGTTAAGGACAAGAGTGCTCTAAAATTTTACCTACCTTGGGAGGTAATTGACGCTGAAAAATTAATTATCAGTGTTCTGCATTTTAAATTAATACCCGATGATGACGAGGAATCTCAGGTTGACAGGGAACAATCAGTTAAGGATGTAGTTATTCATGAATTTGATTGCCCTTGTCTGAGGGCTGGGGAACTAGTCCCTTCCTGCCCCGTAAAATTCACAAATTCAAAACCAAATCCAATAGATTTCTTTCTCAAATAATTTATTATACAATTGTTATATTGATATTCTCGTTGAAGAAAAACAGATTTTATATCTTTTATATCCTGATGCAAATGTATTATTTTTTGTTAACAATTACGTATAAAAAATTCTTTGGAAGTCTTCGATGTTAATTCTAAATAAAGTTTGAATAAATTCTATATCTCAACAAAGCCCTTTTTTTTCACAACGAACGGCGATAACCATTTTCTAGGAATTGTTATTTACTATTGCTAATCCACAGTTATCGATACAATAAATAAAAGGGAAAGAATTTTATCGCTGAAAAATTGCAATCGATTTACAACAAGTTTTGCTCTCTTTTATCAATCCATTGCTGCAAGAAAAATGATAAAAAAATGACAGGTGGAGGTCAGTCTCAGCTGTAGATAAAACAAACTTCTGCATACCCTACGCGATCAGCTGATCTCCTGTCAGTGGGTGATACACAATAGTGTATTGTCTCGTCACAGCAATTTCCAAAATATCTCCAATAACCCCGAGAAAATCAATCATCAATTTATTACAAGATCTCCGGTAAGTCCTGGGCACAACTCGTTAAAAAATCCCCACAAAAATTCCTTCATCCCTCCTGTCCCTACAAAATCGAAGCTAACCTCCAACTGCAGTTCCACCCCATAATTACGACTCTGATTTAATAAATCATGGAAAAATCGTAGGATCATTGATATATTCTTAAAAAATCCCCAGACACGATGTCCATCGCTCAAGATCGTCCGGAGCTCTACGAGGAGGTGAAACTCTACAAAAATGCTAGGGAAAGGGAGAAGCACGATAATCAAGCTGATTTGTATGCAGTCGTAAACACCCTTCAGCATTTGGAGAAGGCTTACATAAGAGACTGCGTTACTCCGAAAGAATACACAGCTGCTTGCAGTAAATTGTTGGTTCAATACCGAGCAGCTTTCAAACAGGTAATAAAAATATCATTAGAGTTCGAACCTTGAGGAAACTAGTGTCAAAAAAAAAATTCTCGAGGAGACGATCACGTAATTTTTCAGTGATTCAATTGATTAATAGGTTCAGAGCGATCAATTCCCCACGATCGACGCCTTCGCCAGGGCTTTTCGCCTGGATTGTCCAGCAGCTTTGGAGCGAATCAAAGAGGACAGGCCAATAACGATAAAAGATGACAAAGGCAACACATCGAAATGCATCGCTGACATTGTCTCATTATTTATCACTCTCATGGATAGACTTCGTCTTGATATAAAGGCCATGGATGAACTCCATCCGGATCTACGTGATCTCCAGGATACCATGAATCGTCTCAGCATCCTACCGAGTGATTTCGATGGCAAAACGAGGGTATCAGACTGGCTCCAAACTCTCAATAACATGTCAGCGTCTGATGAATTGTCCGAAACCCAAGTGCGACAACTGCTTTTCGATCTGGAGACGTCCTACAATGCATTCAACAAAGTACTCCACAATTCATAGTTCGTTAAATATTATGTACAATTGTCCCATGTCAAATATTATGTCACAATATTTTTTTTATATTATCAAATGATGCGCATTAATGTGAATTTGAAGAGGAATTATTAAATGCATTCGTAGCAGCTGAACATTAATTGTATAATTATGTTATTAAAAATCCTCCTACCACTCTCTCATTGTCAGTCTCATTTTGAAATTCTTTGGATAACGAAATAAATTAACAGCTCAGTGTTTCCAGAATGAAATATTCCCGGAAGGATAAACCAAAAATGAGAATTACTGTCGGCATTTATTAATCCTGAGAAAGTTTTCATCGAAACAAGAAGTTTCCTTTTCCCTCCACTCTCCACAAATAATTACAGACTTACGAATCCGAAAACCTTAAAAACAAACTCACAATGCACTGTAATTACCCCTGTGGGATGTAAAAAAAAAATCATAAACAAGACACTTGAGGATCGTTAAAAACCTCCCAATGAATAATTCTCCAAAGTGCTTTTATCGCTGTAGCTTTTATAGCTGTGATTAAAAGTTTTAGCGTGTTTGGCTCAGGTGGCGCGTGAATTCGATACATCGGGATGCTGTTGGAGTTTACCCTACCCCCTGGCAAGTGGGTGGATTGAGGCACCGGTGGAGAGGATGATGTACCCAAAAGAGACTGAGTGAGACAGAATTGCGCTTGCCGGTTAATTTGCGTCGGGGCTTTCCTTTGATGTTTTGGAAGCTGGTGGAGGGGTCCAATGGACTTTCGGAGAATCGCATTTACTCGGCACTCGTCTATGCAAATCGCAGGTGGTGGGATGTATTCCAGGAGAAAATGAACTCGATGTCCTTGTTCTATCCTTTAGTTTTCCTCCTGTTGGACCTGCAATTTTTTGAATTTGCAATACCGGGAATTCCTGGGAGAAGCGAACAATTCTGAGTCAGGTTACTACCCACGAAAATACAATAACGGCTTTCAAACTATTGACTAAAGTAAATTAAAGCCGACTGAACCAACATCATAAGATGGGAAGCAACTTGAGGCAATTGATGTCCTCATTGCTTGTTAACGGTTCCAGTTTCGTTCTTATTGCTTTGGAAAACTTTCGAGATTCTTTAGTGATTGCATCGATTTCGATATGATATTCTATATATGTCACTGATTTATACAAATCATTATTATTATTCATCTTATCGGAAAATAGAGAGACGGAAATTTTTTTAGAGGAAATTGGTGGCTTTGATTATTGTGGTTTTACACTGGATGCAATTTCTCAAATGGAGCGGCTTTTCTGGTCGTATTTCAGTCGAATGTAGATTCACTCGAATCAACCTTTATTTTCAAATCTACTTTGAATAAAATCATGGGAATGTTTGATTCGATCTGATTGAATTCACAAAGCTATCGGCCCTTTGTAATGGCACACTGTCGGGTATTGGCTGTACGGATATCACATTCGAGAGTTTATCTTCCACCTCTTTTAGCTGCACCGTTCGCTTCAGTTTGAACAGACATTTGACTATTTTAGAAGGGTTTTACAGGAGTCCTCCAACTTGGTACGATACTTGTTTCCGAGTTCTCATGCAAATATTGTTTTTTTATTTTCCCTACAGTTTATAGCACCGCGATCTCTCAAATTGATGGGATCGAGTAAATCGAAATACCTAGCCATTCGTTTGGCAGCTTCCCAAAAATATTTTCTTTTCTTCTTTTTTAAATTTATTATTGCAATTCATGATTACGATCATTGGGATCTCTGTACAACGTAATGATTACGCAATCACTGAGTGATTTTTAGTTCTTGACAGACAATAAACTGAACTTGTGGAAATACCTCGGGATTCAGGTACTCGTTGTTCTCTCTGGTGCTTAAAAATCATATCGCACGTTGGAAAGCGGTACGTGATGTGAATTGACGAGTAAAAAGGGATCTCCAAGCCGGAATGAAAATGGAATGAACGTAAATACTACAGGTATTTTGTGCGTGAGAGGAAGTCAAGCTTTTTGTCGAGTCACTCACTATTTTTATTGACTCAGTCTTTCCCCGACCGGCAGGGGGTGGTCACCGGCAATGGATATCAGGAGCTGAAGAAATCCTGAGGTGAATTCATCCCGGTGTAATTTTTTTACCCTCAATATTAAAACGATGGAATATTTACTTGTTCTCGAGAATTGGAGCTGAAGAACCCGGGAGGTACATCAGTGATGCATCACGCTGGGTGAATGATTGTTGTAGCCATTAACAACCCTTGCCGTTGGGTTAATTCACGATTCTAGGATTAATGCAGTACACAGTAGGCTAGATCCTGGTGAATCCTGGGGGACTCATTCGAGTGTGGAAGCAAGTGCACCGGAGTGAGCCGCTGGCCATTGCTGAAACTCTCGCACTCCGGGTCCGACCGAACCCGGTATGTTTCCCTTGGGAAAACAAACCGGAAGTATCGCTGAGGCAACCCCAATCCACTAGGTTCTATCGAGTGCATTGTAATATCGTTGGGGATAAATTAAACTTTGATTCAGCTGTGATTTCCACCGGCCTTTCCCCCGGAAAAATCAAATACTAGTGAAATACTGGAAAAAAGTTTCTCCGGGCAGTTCACTGCATTGAAATATTATAAATTATTGTTTTAAATTTGTTTATCCTGAATTAAAAATATTTTTACTCTATATTTTTTTGATCATTGGTTATTACTCATTTATTAATGATTTGATAACGATAATTCAGTAATTGAATTTATTTGAATAATTATTTTTGGAGTTGGTTGAATAATAATTGTTTATTGCAATTTTTGAGGACATGAATGGGAATTTGCATATAAAAATTGGGATTTCAGGTTTGAATATTTTTTTTTCGCAAGGCGAATTGATGAGCTTTTCACTGGTTTCCACAGTCTCGAATCTCTTCCAGAGGATAAAATTGGAAAAAATATTTTCTGCACGTTCTGGCATTTCAATTTATCCAGCGCCGAAATCGATTTTGTAATTCTCATTCACCCCCTCCCATCGTGAAATTGAAATGGATCGTGCCAGGCATTCATCGTAAAAATTGTTTTTTTTTTCTCTTCACTCCAGCATAAATGTAGATATAACGTTCATTCCACTGATTCATATAATCTCACTTCTGCCTTTGAAATGCTCTCGTGGGCATTCGTATCTGTGTCACTCAACCGTAGTTCTGATTCTTTCTCATTCCTTTTTTCTACTCCAGCACAGCATCAGTCGTGGTGAATTGGGAATCCAGGACTACTGTCTCAGTGGCAATATAAAATTCGTCGGCGATTGGAGGAATTTACGAGGACGAAGCAAATCCATCCACTCAATCTCTAGCTGCTTTTACTGTTCGTTCTCGTCTTGGTAAATCACTTCTTCAGGATCGAGGGGATTTAATATACCGTTTATATCACGCAGTTGACAATCAGGGTGATGTAGAGCGAAAAGAAATCTTGAGATCATAAAATGTCCATCGCAGATCGACTCGAGAGATTAATTCGAATGACTGAGTTCGAGCTTTTCAAATGAAATTCAATAGAATTCATCAACATTGTTGATTGCTTATTGCAAATATAGAAAATAATTATCCAAATTATCCAAATATATTAAATAATTATTAAAATAATCCGTCTCCACGATGAGTTAAATATATTTATGTATTCTGTGTTATCAATTAAATAAAAAATATGAAAATTTGTTAAAATAAAAATAACGAGAATCTGCATTTCCTAATCAAACTTATTCTTGCACTTTCGTTATATCAAGTTACATAAAACTCGTTAAAATTCTTTGGGTCCGTCTGTTCTGGCGTCCGCACAATGCGGTGGCAAGAGAATGGGGTTGAAACCCTAGGGGTTGGACGCATCCCTCTATTTTTTTTTCTCCCGTTGTGATCTTGTTTTCTAGAAATTGTCTATCCGACTTTATATGATAAACAAAAGTCATTTCCAGTTTCTTGGAGTTCCAGCATTCACTCCTCGTTATTCTCGCTTTCAAGATCAGTCTTCCATTAGCCGTCCGAATTTCGCGAGGCGATGTAATGCGCTTTGTCGTTTTTCTCTCCAGTTGACACTTTGTTTATTTTTTTTTTTTTCATCGTGATATTAAACAGTGGGTACAATTGCATGTCAGTGTCGAGGGAAATAAACTTGAGTCACGACGATCCATCACTCACCCCTTTGAATGCCACTCGACTATTGGGATGTATTTTTTTTTCTCCAGAGAAAACATTTGCTTATGCGACGGAGTGGGTTGAGCTTCTTCTACCCTACGAATGTTTTTTTTATTGTTGGGTACCAGGGAAAATTGGCAGAACGAAATTAACCGGGAAAAATATTTTACTTTTCGAAAAATTTATTGAAGTCTTGATTTTCTTTCTCGTTTTTCAACCAGAAACGCTGGATTTAATAATAATGGATTAAATTTGCAAAATCCATGATTTGATATATTCGTTGGTGAAATATAAATAATTAAAGAACAATATCGAATAATGTAAAAATCACAGGGATTTTGATATTTATTATTTTTGATGGAAACGAGACTTCTCATATTCGTCGAGAGCATTTTCCATTATTATTCCGTCACGAGTGGAAAAAGAAATTCCCCAAAAAGCGCAAGAAAAATTTCAATTGTTCCGTCTGCAGAGAACAGTTGTGTCGCCATAGAAACGTGGAAAACAAAGTGAAAAGTACTCTCGAAATGAATTCACCTAAAGCACGTGAAACAATATCTGTACAATTTACCCGAAAGAAAAGAGAGCAGCGAGATTATTGATATCGAGTGGAAAAAATAAAGAAAAAAAAAATCTATCCCATCCACGTTTGTGTATTTTAATGCCTATAATTGAACTTCAATTCGAAACTACGATGAAATGTGGTGGGAATGCACGGTGTGATGCAATTATGCTGTGGTCTGGTAATTACAGTCCGGTTTCACGTTTACGTGTAGGTGACCCCCACAAAGCCGTAGACCAGAGGTTGACCTCAGTATTTTGGAATTCAAATTGTCACTGGATTTTCCATAAATTCGTAAAACCCAGAAGTTGAGAGTTACGGGGACGAAATACTCCGCTCGCTGTGCGGTTTGAGAATTGTTCGAGAGAGCATGAAATCAAAGACAATACATTTGTTACACATTCGTGATTTATGACGATGAATCTGTCATCCAGTCGTTACAATCAAAACGTGAAGTAACGTAATGAGTAATTATGTTTAGCGAATCAATTTAACCATCACGCAGTGGGTTCCGGAACTGTTGGGGATTATTTCGATTCGTCCAAGGTCTTCAGCAGGAAAAAGTAGGAGATAGTCGTCTGAAGAATCTAGGTGAAAACAATGCAAAAACACAATTGACTGCATTTTTTTTTATCAAACTCACTCATTAAAGCCCGGACTTCCCCGGATCTAGTGACTTTAGTAATTCGTACAATCAAATGATCACACAATAATCTAGGGGATTTTGGAGATCCAAGCGGGAAATAAATCACTAGATCACGATAAGTTTGGGCTTTCGGGAATTGGATTTATTGACGACAAATTAAAAAACGGTAGATTAATTTAATTTAATCCACGGTTTTCCATGAATAGACAAAAAGAAAATTAAAAATAAGAAGATATCGTTAATAAATCCATAATAATGAAAGGATTGGCTCACCATAACGAACATCTCCACGGATACGACAAAAAATTTGCAGGCAGTGAGCTTGAGTGGTTTTTGACTGAGCATAATGATGACAGAAGTCATCACACTTTTCTTGGAAAACCAATCAACTTGATAGATAGCCTCGCGATACTCGTCGCTCTGTGATGATGCCAAGTGATTCATATCGCATTCCACAGTAATTATTCGAATAAATATCTTGTCACCTGTGCAATTAGACAGGATCCCGACCAGCTGTAGATGTAAGTCTGCGTAATTTTCGGGATGAGATGGGATACGATGAGGATCCATCGTGCTATCGTGATCTCCCTTGCATTCTGAAAATATTATTCCAGATAAATTAGTCAATGAAATTAAATGAGGTAAAAGATAGTTGATGCCAGGATTCATGCGAACGAGGAGATAACGTCACCTGAAACAATTGGAATATCAGGGCACACTGGACAATAGCAGTGGTTCCAATCATCCACAGGATGATAGGACCGAATATATCCTGGAGGGAGTTGCGACATCCAAGAAGAACTTCGTACTGTTGCACACATTCTTTCACGACAACTTCAATCCTCTTCTGGTCATCCAGGTGTGTCAGTTTGTATGTCATCATCCGGAGCTGTCCGATCATGAGGAATATGTAATAAGCGAATAGTGCATCGATGCCGCAGGTAACGCTGAAAATTGTTATCGATGCGAATGTTTCGATGGTGTAGTGGATTCGGTATATCAGCACGTTTGGAATATCCCAGGGATAAACTCCAGGGTAGATCAGTTGATACGTCATGGTCTCCGTGTTTCGCTTCTGGAGGATAATATTCCAAATTGGGGTGACAGTGTAAACCGCCATCATCACGAAAACAGTGGGAATTAGGATCCAGCATAATGCACGAACAGTGCTGATTCCCTTGAGCAAGAGATTAGTCAGTCTCTTATCGCCTAGAGCTGCTCTGAACGACTGCTCCAGGATCTGGTGGAGGTCTCGGGCACGCTCTCGATGGATCAGCATTGTACTCATCTTTAATATTAAAATGGTGAAAGGCAATGGGTAGAATAGGACTTTTGGTAAATGTTTATTGATCATTATTTCCTGGAGTAATCCTTTACCTTGAGCATTACTGTGATGAGACTGGTTCCGATGCCCATTCCCTTCACCACGAGTGGCACCTGTGTGATGTGATGAAAGACGTAATTGAGTGTTGCAAAAATAGCCACAGAAACGGCGAAAATGTACAGAAAGGGGAGGAAACGGTAGAAAAAATTGGAATGCCCCAGAGGCCATAGACCCACTATATGGAGAAGTGCTCTGGTTGCTTCACGATATGTCGAGTACACGGACAATTTTGTATTGTCTGTCATGGTTCTACGCAAATTGCACACTAAGGACGCGCCGGCAATTTTTCTTTTTCCAACACAAAATGAGAAATTGCTTCCGGAAAATTGTGAAATCTGAATCACAGGTGGGTCTGATGATATATCGGCGAGATGGTGAACTCGCACGTTCATAATTTATAGAAGTATAGCTCCAGAGGTAGGTAAATCAGTTGGTGCGAAGGTTTTGCCAGTGGTTTTCGTCTCTTGTGGTTTTTCAGGTGGTGAGAGAAAAAGTCTCACTGAATTTATCTTCATTTTGGTATTGCACTGCTTTTGTTATCTCATGTGAAATTTATTTTGCATTAAATTTTCGTTATTTTTATTGAAAAAATAGTCAACAGCTCAAGTGGAGTGAATTGTTGCAATTTTTTTCTTTTAAAATTGTAAGTTGATTCTCGTTTCTATAGCGTAATATTCAGGGATTGAAATCCCTTGGTATTGGGTGCAGCCCCACCCGAGAAAATAAATACCCGTGTCAACATAACTGAACAGTAATGCACACTGAGCGGAATAAATTCCGCATGAAGGGCTTTCATGATATTTCACTAGTAGAATCCATAAGCAAACTTTTAGAGCATAAACCCTCGCCATCAATGGAAATCACATCAAAAACTCCAAATCCACTCCATCGGGAATTTGTCCCAATATATTACCACCGAGTATTAAATTTCAAGACAATGTCAATAGAACTGCCGAATAAATAATATGCCAAATTCAAGAGTAACCGATGTACCTATCCAGCAAACATTTTGTCATATTCCCCCACGAGACGCCCAGAAAAATTCAAACTTTTGCCTCTTCAGTTCAACGACTTCGTTTCTTGACTTAACGATTTCAGTTTCGCCGAGTGTTTTTTATTCTTATCATTTTTTTACGATTACCTTCACCTGAAAAAAAGAGATTCCCGATATGAATTCCAGTCATTCTGCAACTCCCAGGGATTATTAAATTTGTTTCCAAGTACTTTATGCTTTTTAACTCGCTCGGGTACAGAAAAAATATCCGATGGCCCTCGAACATCTGTAACGAGAATTATTTATCAATACTCATTCTGATTGAATGAGAGAAGAAGTTTGCGTAGGGTTGGATTGGTGGATTAAAATTAAGATGTATTTGCAGGTAAATGCATTTGCGATAATTAAAAGGTATGAGACAATGGGGAATAAATGTGGGGCTCAGTGCTTTACACATGCCTTTGAAGGGTTGCATTTTATCGCTCGTTTTTCAGGGTTTTATGTTTATGGATAACCGCGGAAGATGGTTGGCTGCCCTCGGAGGGCTTGCTATTCCCAGGTTTTACACGTTTGATATGAATTTCAGATTTTTTTTTCACATTTTAGAGCTTTGAAAGCCCTCGCACTTCGTAAAATCCACGTGTTATCCCGTCCACAGTCCTCTCTATATTCTAAACACCTGCTTTTTCATCGTAATTTTGAAATTATGGTGAAACTGTACCCTTGAAAATGATGTATTGTTTTTTAGATATTATTCTCCATTTTAATATCCTCTACAGGATAATATATGAAAAAAAAAACAATTCTGCTGCCAAGTGGTGAAATGGGATGAATCGATTTTTCCTGAGGCGAGTTTTTTGCTAATATCTCGAGATTGAAGGGAGATAACGATATTTTCATCAATATATTTTTTATAGCTCTGACTTTTCTCCGTAAAAAATGTTATTACAAATAATTGGCTATGTTCCTTCAATTCCGAGATATCGACTAAACACTGGCATCGAAAAAATGCAATTATGCAATCAGTAGGAAAATTGATTATTAAAAAAAATAATTTTCCACCCCCGAAGGCCGTGGATCAACCCCTGAGATCGGGGGTGAATTTTTTTTTTTTACTTTATTCTTTCATATCATCTTCGTAATTATCGTTTGCGAAATGAATTGCCGATTTAGGGGACAAAATGCTGTTACAAAAATATTTCTGAATATTTTGGGAGAGAAATGACCAATGGAGCTGCTGACGAAACCGTCAACGTGACGCTCCCACTGGAATCCAACTTGAATCGCGATGCTCTGAAATTAATTCTGTCATGGAATGTCACTTTATCGCACCGAGTAATACAATTACGCTAATTGTTCGATGCTTACGTTAGTATTGAGTGCGACTGAGGGCCAATGCCTCTGAGGCAGAGTCTCCGGGTGTTCTCAGATCTCCTCAACGCTCATATAGATACACCACCAAGAGGGCTCGAGTTTCATTTCGAAGTTTAGTGGTTCAGTCCTTATTGCGAGAAGCTTCGCAATGGATGTGGGGGTGGTGGAATACACCCTCTTCACGCTTGAGAGCCCATAGAATATGGAAGCGTCTTGTCTTCTCACTGATTTCCACATTCTCACCCTCTTGAGGACTTGTAGACTGTCACTGACGAATGGTAATACGAGAACAAAGAACTTGGGTATGAGAATATCACCTGAAAAAAAAAATACACTGGGTGGAATTATATCTCCTCCATCAGCATTTCACGGGATTCCCAAGTTATTATTTTAGTTTGTGGTCTTTTTCCGCGTGGCGGCGCCTTTTTTTCTGGGATTCCCCAGGTTCAATGCTGAGGGTGATCTCCTAAATGAGTACTCAGTAGATAATTCACGGGGGGTGATGAACAAGTCTGTGTAATACTTCCAGAACACCTACTGTATTGTTAACTAATAAAGCTCCTTGGAGGAACGTATGGTGCAGCAGGGGAAGGGGATGGGGATGGGGATGGGGAAGGGGGTGCATAAATCTCATTAGTACCGAATCAAATTATCCTGTCATGTTTAGACTGCCGGCGGCGTCATTCATTCGTGATGATGAAATCGGTAATTGTTATTTTTGTCAATACATGTGATAATAAATTTGATTGGTCATTATTGCAGTTTTTTTATTTTAGGGAAATTTATGATCTATTGGGCTGTGTTTGGTGCATATTTTATGATTTTTCTCTTAGAATTCCCTTCGGGGTGTGAATCCTGGTGAAAATAATTTTATTAGAATGCGGACGGATACACGAAAGAACATTGAGTCACTGAAATAATACAGAACTTGCGGCTTTCATCCAGGATTATGAACAAACTTCATGTCCAAGTTATATTCACGCATTATGACGGCTGCTCCAAGTGTTTAAGTAGAAAATAGTATGACACTGTTGTCTTGAGAATCTGTGAGAGGAAAAACAGCTCGTGATAAGATCAATTAGTCCTTGTGATTTGCATTAATTACTCAGTACATTTACTCACCATAAGGAACATGTTGACAGTCAAGTAGAAAAATTTGTACACCACCAGATTAATTCCCCGCTGACTCAGCATAATAATGATTGATGACGCCGTATTTCTGTTCGAGACTGACCAGTTGGTGTGATAAATCGCGGATCGGTATTTTTCACTCTAGAATCGTAAGAAGTTACATGTGGATGATTAGAATCCTTGAAGTTTGAATTACCTCGGCGTTGAGGTACGATCCACACCAGCCGTATATGTAAGCCTGAGTGATTTTCGGGATCATGTACGCCAGAGTCCAGATCCAGCGTCCAATCGACAGATCCCTCAGTTGCTGGACACATAAAATTTTCAATGAAATAAATAAACAGGAAAGGAAACTAATGGATTGTACCGATGACAGCTGATATATCAATGCGCAGAGGACAATGGCGGTGGTCCACATCACCCACATGATGACAGGTCCAAATATTTCTTGAAGGGCGTCCCGGCATTTCAGTAACACCACGTACTGCTGGGTGCAATCCTTGATGACAACGTCAATGTCCTTCTGGTCTTCAAGGTGAGTCAAACGATATGACATGACTCGAAGCTGGCCGACAATCTGGAACACGTAGTAAGCGAAAAGTGCGTCCATGCCGCACGTGACACACCACACTGTGATTGAAGCTATGAATTCAAGGGTGAGGTGAATCTGATAGAAGAATCCGTCGGATACGGTCCAAGGGTAGAGTCCAGGGTAGATCAATGTGTATTCAACAGAGTCAATGCGACGTTGCTTCTGCGACAAGATGCTGACGATGGGTCTCATGACGTACCCTCCAACGGTTATCAGAATCGTTGGAATCATTATCCAACACAATCGTCGGACAGTGGTGATTCCCACCAGCACACGCTGCGTCAGTCTTTCATCATTTAGAGCTGCTGAGAAGTATCCGTCCAGTGTGTAATGGAGCTCGATTCCCTGTTTGCGATGAACCATCAGTGACGATATCTGGAAATGAGATGTTGATGTGATAGCCAATCTTCAAGACACGATTATGGTCCCAGTAAATATCAGACGTACCTTCAGCATCGACAGCATCAGACTAGTCCCAATTGTCATGCCTTTGAGAGTAACTGAAACTCGAGTTATGTAATGGTAGATGAATCTTATAACAGCTAAACCGGAGAATGCAGATGCGAAGAAGCAAATGTATGGGAGCGAGCGATACAATAATGAGGGATTTTTTACGGGCCACAAGCCCATGCAGTACAGGAGAAGTTTTGTAGTCAAACGGAACGCTGAATACTCAAACTTCTGGCTATTTTTCGACATGGCTGATGTCAAATTGTAGGGTAGGAACACTGGTAAATGGTCAAGAGGGAAAATCGGTGGAGGTAAATTGCGACGGATGGAAAAACTCGATGAGACATGCGAATTGTGGGGAGAGGGTGAAATTGCAAGCGTCAGGATCATGTGGCATGGGCTACACGTTTATTATTTATCGGAGGGCATTCCGATGCGCATGCGATGAGGGGAGCGAAATTGGAACCCCGTGAGTTCCTTCAGTGCGATGTTGGTAGTCCAGGTGAAGTCAAGAAAGGGTTTTCAGGATTTTTGGTGGAAGAGGTCGGAAGAGTCCGGACTAATGGAGTTGTCTGCAAAAGATTCTTGGAGGAGGACTCCTTCAGAGATTGATAGACAATGCGGGACCAGATGTTCTTTCGGTGGATTTTTTTTCAATCTCCAGAGGTACAGCATTATGAGTACAGTATTATAACAGAATTTTATTAAAATTGAGAACTCATAAATTAATGAAGACTACTGAATTTAGATCAAACCCGCTGTTCCATAGTTTTGAGAAGACCAAAGTAAGAGATTGCTGTTTTGAAAATCTGCGGGGAAGATGATAAGATTAAATAATTGTTCAAATCCACACGTTTGGGTAGTCTCACCATGACGAAGACATCCATGGATATGATAAATCCGAAGGCTTTGATGTAGAATGATCTTTGACTCAGCATAATGACGATCCAAGGCATGATTGATCTCTCTCGCAACCAGTCTATGTGGTAGATGGCCTGACGATATTTTTCACTCTACAATTACGCAAATCATGAATGTCAGAAAATATGCGTCAGTGAATCTGATTACTTGAGTGATGAGGTATGTCCCAGACCAGGTATACAGGTAGGTCTGCGTCAGTTTCATGATAAGATAATTTACAATAGAAATTATTTGTATTGTAGATAGGCCCCACATCTGCGGTGAAACGGATTTTACTGGAACATTGAGGAATTGTTTAGGGGATACTATACTTGACTCAGCTGAAAAATCAGGGCACACAGGACAATGGCATTTGTTCCCATCATCCAGAAAATAACTGGACCGAATATGCCGTTAATCAAGTCTCGACACTTGAGTAGAATTTCATATTGCTGTATACATTCCTTTATGACAACTCTGATGTTTTCCTTCTCCTGGACATGCGTCAGACGATACGACATGACACGCAGTTGACCTGTCATTTGAAATATATAAAGAGCAAAGAGGCTATCTACTCCACCAGTAACACAGAATACACTCACTGAGGCGAGAATTTCGGAGATCAAGTGCAACTGGTACGCAATACCGTATTCTGATGTATCCCAGGGATACATTCCTGGATATATCAAAGGACACTTGATTGGATATTGGCCATCACGTTTCTGATGGATGTACTTCATGGTCGGGAAGAAGATGAAGAAAAGAACACCAATGCCAACGGTGGAAACAATGACGAAGCAGATTCGGTAGACTACAGTGACACCAGCTAGCATGATTGGACTCATCCATTCATCATTGATGGCGTCAGAGCAGTATTTGTCTAGGGCTCGGTGTAGCTGCAGTGCACGTTTACGTTGACGAATAATACAAATAATCTGAAAGTAAGGGCATGTTTAGGGTGGTATTTCCAGAAGAGATCCACTTACTTTAAGAACAACACTTGCAAAGCTAGTCCCGATACTCAAGCCTCTCACTATAACGGGAACCTGCGCTATGTGGTGGGCAACGAATGACAAGATAGCAAAAGATGTGTAGAAAGATATGAATATCGTAGCCAGGGGTATGCAACTGTACAGCAAACCAGAATTGCTGCGTGACCAAAGACCCGTAACACAAAGTAATGCTTTTGTTATTTTGCGAAAGGCCAGGTACTCTGATAATTCAGAATTCGCTGACATTATTGCGGCAAATGGTAGGCTATAGCTGCTGGTGAAACTTTGGAAAAGAAGAGGAAATCATTTGTGATAACTGTTGAATGAGATTTGCAACGAACTCTGATGACACGCTAGAACCTATAGCAGAGGTTTACACTCCTGGGGGAGTGGGACCAGATGGCTGTTTCATACGTGAATAATCGACGGAGAGATATCACCGGATGGTGAGTGTATGGCGATATCACTGAGGTAGTCATTCAGTCCATCGTCAGCACCTGAGTTGTAATCTATATCAAAGTTTCTCGACCTGGGGTTCAGAATGGAATATTCGTGAGGGATGTGGGATGAATGATCAAACGGACGAATAGCTTTAAAATCTACTGTGACTTTTTCATTCATGAATTCTTGGTGCCTTCGAATTACATTACAACGATTTGAACTGGCTGTTGGAGATGAGGTACTTGTCACGTGGTCTTCAACAAAGGTGAAACTTTCAATTACATTTTTATCGCAATCGTTAATTACCCTTTACCGTTATGATGTGGCAACATTCAATATTATTTTCTAACTTGATATCTGATGCTAGTCGAGTGTCTGCAGCAATAGGTAATACGATGACGTCGTCTTCATGACCTGGGGTGATAGGACATCATTAATTCTCCCGATTCAATTGATGGCTGGACTACGAATACGAATACTTACGAATACGAACATATTGAGGGAGACATCTGGCATGTGCCCGGCTTGGATTATCAACGGCCTCTGCATGAGAACTGTCAAAACGGTATTCATAAACCGTCGGTCCCCAAGCCATTGTGAGCAGTAAACATTGTCCAGGAATGTTTCACTCTAAATTAACGAACAGCAATTAGAGAAGATAGTGTAGTCTTGCTTTATTCAACTGATATGTTTACCTGTCCTCTGAGATTCGTCGCTGACCAGCTGTACGACCAAACTTGAAGAGTTTTAGCGATTCCATGAGCTGCGAATCTCATTTTTTGCAGGGTTGTCATCGAATCCATCTGTAACGTGAAATTGCAAGGACATGAGATGATGAATTAATTGTTGAATGATTTTGAAATGATCATTGACGTTACCTGCGTCACTTGCCAAGCTAGCGAACAGAGTGCGACTGGGCCAGTGACAGCTATGAAAACGATAATGGGCCCATAAGTTTTCTGAATGATGCAGCGACATTTTATGAGAATTCTGTACTGAATGAGACACTTGTGCAGCACATATCCGTAATCGCCATCGTCTCGAAGATTGAGAAGAGCATGAGACATTCCACGCAGGGGGATGGTCATCTGGAGAATAGTGAATGAAAATAGTACATCAACGAGAGCTCCCACGTAGAAATTCCACATGAGACTGTACGCTTCGAATCCAAAATGAAGACCATGAACTAATTGATTGACTGATACATTCCAGGGATACGTTCCTGGGAGTAGTAAACTGTACTTGATGGGATGAAGATCGTGTCTCATTTGATAAACAACTGACACCAGTGATGTAATTATCGGTACAGTACCACTGAAAGCGCACAAGCTCGCATGAACTCGAAAAAAAGAACGGAATATTTTCACGTCGTCAAGTACAAATTTCTTCAGCTCCCCATCACTCAGGAACTCATTGCACAGCTCAGTTACTGTTCTGTTGAACCACAGCAATTCCTTTCCAAATCTGGATATGCGTAATACCTGAATGAACAAAACTCATGCTTTCTGTTGATGAAGTGGAAATAAGCGAAATAGTGAAGAGCAATAAATTCAGTCTTCACCACTTCGTCGGTAATTCAATCTACCTTGAGAATACACAGAATGTTAATGGTAATGATACCAAAGCACACTGTCACCAGTCTGGCATCGCTGATGTGATGAGCGATGGAATTCGATATGATCAGTATGGCGTAGACGAAAAGACTGACGAGACAATAAGGTATCATGCGATAGAGGAATCCAGGATTCTCGAATGGCCAGAGACCCATGTAGAGGGCGATTTTGCGCATTGTCTCGCGTATTTCTAGGAACTGCTGAACTCCCTCATCGTCTGACATGATTTCATACGCGAAGTTATTGGACAAATGAGCAGGAATTGAGAGACATTGAAGTATCACGCATGTGAATTGCTGTGCGTTTCCTTCTCGGAATACTTACGTAGAACAGCAATTGACTGTATTGTTGTTATTCAATGGTAATGCGTAATAGCGTAACCACACATGAATGCATCACATTATGAAGTAGCTGGGAGAGTGGGGTGAGCAAGTACTGCTGAGACTTTCCACATTAGTCTTGCTTCAACTGCCTTGTGCGATTGATTTCTGGAATGACAGCGAATCAAGAGTGACGGGTTAAAGCATCTTTTGGTGGTCAGATCGCTGAGGTGATCCAAGCACATTCAGATTTTATTTTAATCAGGACAATCTGGATGTCCCAACCAAAATGGGAACTGTTAGAACAAAGGAGTAAGGAAATTATACAGAACATCAAACATTCTCTCAGTTAATTCGCGTGGTTTAGGAGATATTATGATGCTTTCTGCTCCATTGTCTGGAGAAGCAAGTAGTAGGATGCAGTGGTCTTCATCACCTGCATCAACATCAAGGAATTAATGCTTTTCTCATTACAGGGTATGCTGATACTTACGAAAACAAACATGCTCAACGAGACATCCGGCATGTGGCCAGCTCTGATTGTCAGCGGTCTTTGAATCAGGATCGTGAAAACGGTATTCATCAATGATCTATTGCCTTGCCACTTGGAGAAGTAAACCTGACCAAGGAAGTCTTCACTCTGTTTGAAGACAAAATGAATTAATCATAGTCAGCATGACATCATCAATACTTCACCTTTCCTTTCAGCATTGTTGCGGACCAGCTGTACGAGAACACTTGAAGTATCTTGGCAACTCCATGAACAGCAAATCTGAACTTCTGGAAATTGCTTATCGTCTCCATCTGGGCAGTGCCAATGGAGTGATAACAAGCGATAAAGAATTCAAATGATTACAATTTATTGTACCTGTGTCACCTGCCAGGCAAGCGAACAGAGGGCGATGGGTCCAGTGATGGCGACACCGAGGATTATCAGCCCGTAAGTATTCTCAATGATATTACGGCATTCAATGAGCGTTCGGTATTGAATGAGACATCGGCGCAATGTATCCTCGTAATCACTCTCATCGCACAGGTGTATTATCGCGTGTGACATGCCACGCAGGGGAATCGTCATCTGAAGAAGTGAAAATGAGAAGAGTACGTCCACCAATGCTCCAACATAAAAAGTCCACATGAGTGTGTAAGATTCAAGACCAAAATGAAATCCATAAACAATTTCATTGATTGATGCATTCCAGGGATACATTCCCGGTATTATCAAATTGTATTTTATAGGATGAACGTCATGAATCTTCTGATTCATGACTGACACCATCGACATAACCAGTGGAATTGTCCCACTGAATCCACACAGACTCGTGTGAAACCAGAAGAAATATCTGTATATCGTCACATCGTTCAGCACAAATTTGTGAAATCGCTCATCACTCAGGAATTGATTACAGAGATCATCGACTGTATTGTAGAACCACATTATTTTTTTAACATTCACAGCTAAACATAAAACCTGAACGAATAACATTGAAGATTCATCGATAATCCTAATTGATGTACCTTGAGTGCACACAACAAATAAACAGCAACAACTCCAAAATTCAGAGTTATTATTTTGGCATTATCGAGATGATGGAATATTGAGTTCAATATTATAAAAATTGCGTTGGTATAAAGGGTGATTGGTAGATAGGGCAGTAAACGATAGAGAAATCCAGAATTCGGAGATGGCCAGACGCCCATGAAGAATACGAGTTTCTCAATTGTTCGACGAATCTGAAAGTAATTCTCCGCTCGTCGATTGTTAGACATCATCACTGCAAAATGACTCCACCAATAGCAAAAAGCCCAGGTAATATGCGGATATTGAAACCTCTTTGCATACCAACTCTCCATTTTTATTGCAGTCAATAGCTTTCACCGCACCTGCAATCAACTCTATCGTTGTCATTCAATGATGATGCGTAATAATGTGGTTGCGGGTCTGAAGAGTGGGGGAGTCAGCAAAACGGCGATTTATTTTCAACTTTAGTCTTCCTGAAGCTCTTGTGTGGTACGTTCACTCATTTTATTATATTTCGAAGAAAGTGAAAAATCGGGCAGACTGTATGAGTTATTCATGAGATAATTACGATTATAATTATTATTCAAGAGAGTATTTGATTTATTGAGAGCTTTCGGTATTGACGCAATGGTGTGGTAAAGTGTCTACGGTTTCTACTGCTCATGTCTAGGCGAGTGAAATTATTCTGGGATGAATTACGATTCTGGAGCAACTGTCTTCAGTAGAAGGGAGTAAGAAACGGTTGTTTGAATCATCTGAAAGATATTATGAAGTAATCTTTATTAATTATTATTAATTAATTGTCAGTATTGTCCTTGCCTTAGCGAACATTTCGACGGAGACGACTGACACATGACAGGCTTTCATTGTCAAGGGTTTTTGGGCGAGGGTTGTCATCACAAATGATGTGCATGATGGATGATTAATCCAATCGGACAAGTAAACGCTTCTGAGATAATTCTCACTCTGTTAAAGCATAAAAATTCTACATTTCCAATTATAACCTCTTCGTAGGCACATTTATTTACCTCTGCAGCAAGAAATGTTCCCGGCCAAGTGAAGAGATAGACTTGAAAAATTTTTCCAAAAGCGTAGAGTGTGAATCTCGCTATTTGGATTTTTGTTAATGAACTTGCCTGGACAGAGAGGTGCAATCATTCAGAGATCGAATAAAATCTGAGGCTGATATTTAGAGCTAGTTCATATTGCTATGGGATTTTTTGATTTTACTTGCCTTGCTCAGCTGAAATATCAGGGTGCAGAGGAGAACTGCAGCACTCCCATTGCAAAAAATGATGATAGGTCCGTAGATATTTTCCAATTGATTACGAATTCGCATTAACGTTCCGTACTGAATGATGTTGTCCTTCAGAATATCGTCGTAATTATCTCCATCTCGGATATGATGCAGACGGTAGGACATCGCCCGGAGCTGACCGGTTGTTTGGAATATCCAGAACAAATACAAATTGTCAACTCCAGAGGTGACATGACAGCAACTGAGTGCTGTGAGTGATTCCAAGAGGTAAGTTATCCTGTAGGCCACTCCATTCGTTGACGTGTCCCAAGGGTACATCGTCGGATACACTAACGTGTACTTTATGTTCTCCGTATGTCCCATTTCTTGGATGAAAATTACGACAGCTGGGATGATGACCAAGAGGACGAAGAAGCTGCCGTACACCATGATAATTATAGATCGACCACAGGTGAGACAGACTTTTACCCATTCCCATGCGAAATTCAATGATCTCTCCTCATTTATTATTCGAGATGAGTAGTCATTGAGAATTTTACTGATGTCTAGGATCTCTCGCCGGTGTATCATCAGCTGGGATAGCTGAAAGGACAATATTCTCGTATTCTCGTGGAGACGATTGGGGATTGATTAAATGGGTAATTAACGTACTTTGAAAATGTAAAGTGATGTTGATGCCAACAGACTTATCACTCTGATCACAATATTCCAGTTGCGTATGTGATGCACCAGATAATTCATTATTGCTACGACTGTTATTGCGCTTAGGAACAATTGTGCGTATGGTAACAGGCGGTACCAGAGTTTAGGCTTTTCTGATGGCCACAGACCTACGGGGTAGAGACATCCCTTCACCTGTCTGTGATACGACCAATACAACAGTAACTTTCTCTGACTCGGCATTGTTCACGAGCACTTGTAAATGCTGGAGTTGAAAATTGGTTTAATAGTTTTTAATGGGTTTCAAATGAAATTTTCTGCGGTATACCCATTCCCAGTATCTGCTATACGTGCGCAATTTGACATGTGATGTAATAAGAGTATCGATCACAGGAGGAGGGGCTTGCAGTGGATCACCATTTTCTGAACCAACACTCAGGCTTCACGAGAAATATTATTTGCGAGAAGAAATTTGAAGAATTAAAAATACTAATGGAGATGGTGAACAATAAAAAAAACGGCGAACGACCAGTTCATTCTTCATTAAATCAGGGATTCATTGAATCAATAAAATCCATTGCAATAATTATAAATTTATACCTTTTATTGAATATTTCTTATTACAGGAGTAACAGATCTATACTTTAAAGAAGAGAATCGACAATTTCATCATTGTTTTTCTTCGAATGTCTTCAGCAAGAAGAAATACGACACAGCTGTATTCAGTGTCTGAAACATGATAATTTATGAATCGAGAACGTGCCGATTGATTAAAATGTCAATGACAAGATTACCATGATGAGCATGTCATTGGATACGATAATGCAGTGGGCGGCTGTTATTCGGACAGGTTTTTGTGTCAGCATCACTAATATTGATGTCCTGAAACGTCTTCCGGTTTCTTGCCAATCACTACAGTATATAGATTCCATCAGGGCTTCACTCTACGGAGAAATCATCAGGATTAGGTATGTGATCATTTAATTTAATCAAAGTGATTCCTGCTTCGAATTTTCGTACTTCGGCTGTCAGATTCGATCCAGCCGACGCATATAAATAAGTCTGCAATATTTTTGATCCACTGTAGCCCATGATAAGAAGGTATTTTGGAGCAGAAAGCGCTTCCTGTTAATCGCAGAGAGATGATTAGAATGGATTTGATTTTACAACACCTAGTCTTACTTGTGAAATTTGGAACAATACGGTACAGATAATGATCGAATTTGTTATCACCTGCCAAAGAATGACAGGTCCATAGATTCTTTGTAAACCATCACAACATTGTTGCAAAACAATATATTTATCAACGAATCGCGGTATGAATGCATGACAGACATTATTTCCACTGAGATGTTTTAATTGATATCCCATCACACGAAGTTGTCCATTTATGAGGAGTATGTAGTATCCAAACAGTGAATCAACACCACAAGATGTGAACAGCAGAGACATCAGATTGCACACTTCAAAAACGTAAGTCACTTGGTACAAGATCCCACCGGGACGTATCTCCCACGGATATAACGCGGGTAATGGTAATATGTAATGAATTGTTTGCAGGTGATGTCCGAGTTGAATTGCGATGAAGATGATGGGAGCGATGCAGTACGACACAGCTCCACAGGCAATGAGAAAAAACAGGAGCAAAGACGAACGACGAAATCCACTCATTCCCTTCAAAGCTAGCTGTCCCAAATTCTCATCGGCCAACGAGTCCTCGTGGTAATTCTTCACTACTCCCAACAGATCAATAATTTTATCTCTGCATAGTGTAAAGATTATTACCTGAAAGTAAAAATAATCATCGGAGCACTGTGTGAGTGAAGGATGTTTACCTTGAAAGCTATCGTTATGAAACTCATCCCCAAACTGACGCCTTTGACCATAAGCTGCATGTTGGAGATGTGAGCAATTGCAAAACGAAATAATGCAATGCTCAGGAAAACATTGCCACTGACGATAAAAATTGGGAGCGCACGGTATGCGATGGGGGGATTGGGAATTGGCCAGATTCCCACGAACAGCATCCAAAATTTTATACTGCTGGTGAGGAGATTGTATTTCATCAATTCACTATTTTCCTTCATTGTTTAATATGATGATACTTATTTTTAATTTTTTCCTCTTTCACATTATTCACAACGAGTCCATTAAATATTCATTGTCACAGTCATTTTCAAGATTGATGCTTCACGATTTGGTTGAGACTGTTATTCTGGAGTTGTTTGTGTGGTATTTTCTTTTCAATTTTTTTTTCTTTGTAGGATAAGAAACAATTCAACTTGCGTTTTGTTGCTGATACGTGATTACTGGCTATAAGTGTAGCACATTATTCTATGCAGTCATCGGGGGAGTATTGTTTCATCGATTTGTTGAATTACATGACGATGACCGACGAGAAAACCGGTTCGCGGATTTTTCTGCGAATACAATCCTGTAGTTGTATTTCGACAGCGTGACGGGGTCGTTCGGAGTGAAAAAAATGTGCAATTAACACTATTGAATTCGCAATTCGTAATTTCACTCACCGGAAATTTAATCTTCTCACTAAGACCTTTTAATGCGGGAATTATAATTGAATCGAAATGTATTCCTGAATTACTACCCTTTTTTGAATATTGAAAACGATTAATATGAATAAAATAGCTCGAACTGAAATATTCGTGTTTATTAAATGCAATTGATAATTGATTTTTAAATGGCTATCGAACAAATTTGAAATTGAAAATTACGGCGGCTGCTTCAGACTGAATAAGTGATATAAAAGTTATAAATCCCTGAAGATTTATTACTCCGATGAACTACCGACATCTATTCTCGTCTTGCGAAGGGTCTTCAGCCTTGCTCGATCGTTTGTAATAGAAGGAAGTATGACATCGTTGTATTGAGCACCTGAAGAAGATGTTTCATTGACGAAATTTCGACTGATTAAATTATTGTGGCATACTAACCATTACAAACATATCAACAGATACCACAGACATATGCCAAGCTGTCATTGTCAGGGGTTTTTGAATCAAGGTGATCAGAACCGAATTCATACCTCTACGGTTTCCATACCAATTTGCTGCGTATACTGCACCCAGGTACTCTTCACTCTGAGGAAGAATCATCATCAAGAAACATCTTTTGAAAATTCTGAATCGGTATATCGGTACGTATTAGGTTGAGCGAACCCCTGCTTCCAGCAGAGTTCGCTCAAGGCCCTCTCAACACCAATCAACTCAATTTTTTTATAAACAAATGTGAAAAACATTTACATTAGGGGTAATGCTTAGATTCCTGAGGGATCTCATTCATAAAAGATTGCTCAGTCACTAACACTAACATATTCATTACTACCTTTGACGAGAGCAGCGTTCCAGACCAACTGTAAAGGAACGTCTGAGTGGTCTTTCCACATATGTACGCAGCAAACTGTATTATTTGTACAATTGTTATCGCCTTCATCTGAAAATTTATGTTTCAGACTTTGCAGCAGTTATAAACAAACAAAATCTTACCTGCGTGAATTGAAAGATGAGAGCACACAGAATTATTGCGTTGTTACTCATCAAAAGAAGTATGATAGGGCCAAAAGTTTTCTCCAATATATCTCGACATTCCATCAATGCCGTGTAATCTCGAATACACTGACCCATTTCCTCATCAATGCTGTCTTTTTCTCCAATTTCTGTCAAACGATACGCCATTGCGCGAAGTTTTCCCTTAACTTGAAAGACAAGCAGAGGAAGAAATGCATCCGTTCCGGAGCTCACGTAGAACACCGTGAAGAGAGCGAATGCCTCAAAAATATAGTGGACCGTGTAAATGAAAATATTGTCTGGTACAGTCCAAGGGTACATTCCAAGGAGAATCAGAGGATACTTGACCGGCTTGACATGATGAACATGTTGTTTAATGATGATGATGAGAGGAGTCAACACGTATCCAAAAAGAGCGAAAAATGTTAAGACCGTGTAGAATAAACTGAGTCGACGGAAAAGCTTCACATCATGCAAGACAACTTCCCGAAATTTTTCGTTAACCAGGAGTTCATCGAAGTAACTATCCAGAATTTTTCGTGCTTTTATCAGTGGCTCACGATTTCTCGCAAGACACACCACCTTCCAAACGAATCATTAACGTAAATTTAATTCAATAATAAAAATCAGTACTTACTCTGAACATGTTCAAAATGATGCTCGTCATGATACTCATAGCTCTAGTTACGATTCTGATGCTCGTTATGTGATGCGCGATGAAATTTCCAATTTTCATAGCTGCACCACACCCAACAAATATCTGCAAATACGGCAGCATGCGATAAGCGCTGGTCGAATCCTCCGATGGCCAGAGACCCGCAAAGTCCAGGAGCCATCGGAGATGCTCTCTGTATGCCACGTATGTTTCCAGTTTTTTACTGTCGGACATTTTGAATAGGACGAGTGGAGAAATTGATGTGTGAGGTACGAACAAATTTTTTCAACTGGTCGCAATGCAGCAGAAATGAAAACTCCAATTTGACTCGTGCGTACAGCCTGTGATTTATGCATCGAAACTTTTTCCATGATAAGTTAAGTATAATGACGCCATACTCAATCGATTTGTAAAGTAGATGTTTTGGGAAGTAGGAGAAATCCAGTCGAACGCACCACCAGTACTTGAACGGTTGGAGAATAAAGAAAAAATATAGAAAAGGTGATCCTGCTGTTGAATAATGGAATATTATCAATCATAATATTTTTTATTTTTTTTATCGAGAAAATTCGTTCGCTGGAGTACAATGTTCGAATCATGTGTTATTGATTGTGATTACTCGGTGGAGAATGGATAGATGATTGGGGACATGATCTGGTATTATTTTTTATTAAACAAATTTATCATTTCAGTACCTCTGATGATTATAAATACTCACGGTATCATTTAGAGAAGCCAATTAACGGTTCAGTATTTTCTCGAGTGATTAAGTGGTGATTGAAAATAATTTGACATAATTTTATTAGAACAATCTATTTCGACTGATTTAATCACATGAAAATTTTATAATAACTCTAATCTTCTCTACGATTGTTGCTCTTCAAATGTTTGGAGTAAGAAGAAATAAGACACTGCTGTATTCAGTGTCTGTGACAAAAGTAATTCAGGTAATAGTTTATATTAATCTCCATTGTTCATACGAGAATAATTAATTACCATCGTGAAGAGATCCAGGGAAACAGTAACCCAACCAGCAGCTGTGACTTGGAGAGCTGGTTGTGTTAGGATGAGTAGAATTGATTTCCTAAAAATTCGACGATCTGGTCCCATCCAATCACTGAAGTAGACTGATTCAGTCAGGGCTTGACTCTAAATGAGAGAATAATTCCAGACTATTGCAGATTACGATCTGATTTATTATCGTCATGATTTTTTATTCACCTCAGTCGTCAGCTGAGATCCAGCCCAGGCATACGTATACGTCTGCATGATCTTCCCAGCACAATGTCCTAGCACCAGAATAATCTGCACCGCGCTGGCTCCACCCTGTAGATTGAAAAAATTACACCACCCCTTTGGACAACTAACATAAACACCAAGACAACTCACTTGTAGAATTTGAAAGAGAATAGTGCAAATGACAGTTGAATTTGTAATGACTTGCCACAAGATGAGAGGTCCATAAATCTTTTGAAGATTGTCACAGCACTTTTTCATCACCAGGAACTTCATCATCCATTTCCGTATAAAATCATTGAGATCCTCAGCTGATGGTAGATTCTTCATTTGATAACTCATAACTCGAAGTTGACTTGTTATTTGATAAATAAAATATGCAAACATTGGATCCATTCCAGCAGTCACGGGATACATACACCATATAATATACGTTTCGCATATGTACGTGATTATGTACAGGAGTCCTCCAGGTGGAATTTTCCATGGGTACAGGGCAGGCGTTGGAAGAAGATACTTTACAGGCTGCCCATGCTTTTGGACCCGGATAATCATCATTACTATGGGAGTGAGGCTGTACATTAGACAGCCAAGAAAAACGAAAATATCTAATAGAGTGATCACACGTCGAAATCCCCCGAAATTCTCCAATACCAAATATTTGAATTTTTTATGTGCGAGCAGCTCAGTCTGATACTTGCGGAGAATGACCTTCAACTCGAGGGCTGTTTCTTTGTGAAATACAAAAAGGCCTATCTGAAAACAATTAAAATAACGGTATGCATCGATTTTTTTGACTGCATGATTTATCTGTGAATAATAAATCGATGAATATCAATTCTCATCTTGATTCAATCGACGTTAGAATATCATCCCATCAATCCCAAAGCTACAATGAATTCTCTCATGTCGTCAATGAATTATGAATTACCTTGAAGGCAATAGTGAAGAAACTTCCGCCTAGACTGAATCCTCTCACCATCAGATTAATATTTGAAATATTGGCAGAAGCAAATCGCATTACCATGATTCCCAGGAGGATAATACAAATTATATCGAAGATTGATATAGCCCGGTAGAATATATTGGGATTTGATACTGGCCATGTTCCTATGAAGATCATACGATTCTTCAACTGACGTTCAATCGTCTCTAAACGTTTGAATTCATTTTCCACCTCTATCCGCTTCTCCGATGAATCCATACGTCTCGTCCACTAATGACTCGTATCCTCAACTGGAAAAACTTATTTTCTCTATGACAATTCTACCAGCATCGAAATACATGCTATTGATCTTGATTGCTAGTTGGAAAGTCGATGAAAAATTAAAGGCCAGCATCGGGTATTTTTTCCCATGCGATAAAACCACGCATGACATATCATAAAATATAATGGGGGAGTCATTTCTTGAAGAGGTAGAGACTTATTTATTGCTCAAGGGATATCTCCGGAATCGTACTATCCCTGAAGACATGAGAAATCATTTTTATTGTAAATTTTTACTCTGGAATCTAAATACTGGGGTAGAAAATTCAATGACGGGGACGTGCGAGTTTTTAAATTAAAAATTATTTGAAGGAATAGTTTTATCCAATGATATGAATTTATTTCGTCTGACGGTGAATCCGTTGAGATTGTTTTTTTAAATTATTCGCTGACGGTTCGTAGGAAGAAAAAATAAGACATTTGATGAATCAGTCCGGGGTTTTCTGCTGGAGGGGAAATAATACAGTAATGGAACGGTAATTGAGTTTATTATCTCAGGATTTTTCCCCTAGCTCGTACAGCTGTTGATGATTGACTTCCTCGGGATAAAATTCATCTTATCAATCAGCTCTGGCATTTTATTCCATCGTAGAACCTGAGGTATGTGTAAGTGCCGTATTCAAAGTGCGAATAACAACTTAATACTCTAAACTTACTGTTCAATAAATTCCCAGACATCGAAAATCACTCGATGGAATATATCTTTCGCAGCTATCAACTCTAATCGAGCAGAAATACATTAGTATCAGTGAGAGATTGCAATTCCACATCTCGAATAATTACAGCGTGTACTTGGAGTTGGGAATCTATGATTGCTGCTCTTCAAAAGTCTTCAGCAAGAAGAAATAGGACACAGCTGTATTCAATGTCTGGAATAAATAAATAAATACGTTTAATTTGACAATATGTTTTGGAGGAAATATTACCATGATGAACATTTCGGTGGAGACGGTCATGCAGCTAGCAGCCGTGATTTTTAGAGGTTTCTGTGTGAGGATGAAGAGAATTGATGTCTTGAACCGTTGACATTGCTCCAGCCAGTTGCTGAAGTAGACGGACTCTGACAGCCCCTCACTCTGAAATAAACAGTAATAAAAAGGGTTGATTACTTAATCGTCATATATTATAATAATAACAATTAATACTAATTCCAATCAATTATCATGAATGATTATTTACTGATATCAAAATGGCCAGACAGTTTCGCCCTAAAACATTTCCACATTTATCTTCTAAAAGTTCGACATAAAATTGCATTTAATTAATAAAATCAGACAACAATAAGGAATTCATTACTCGAGATAATTTAATATAAATTCACGAGTTGAATGAATCCGAGAATGAATGAGATGTATATTAAAAAATTCTCATGTGGTCAGTAAATAGCTTGAGAGGGGGATTTTTTTTTTTCAGTGCAATGTCTACCTCGAGCATCAGGACAGATCCAGCCCAGCTGTATATATACGTTTGTATTATCTTGGTTCCACTGTAGCCGATGATGAGGATATATCTCCCGAGAGACAGTCGTTTTGCCTGTAAAAAATATTAACGAATTTTTTTTTCATATCGAGATAAATTTCCATTCGACTGATAAATGACTTACTTGTGAAATTTGAAACAATACTGTACAAATGACCGCTGAATTCGTTACAATCTGCCAGACAATAATAGGTCCATATATCTTTTGCAAGATATTACAGCATCCCTTGAGGACAACAAATTTTTTAATCCATTTACGTATGAGTACGTCGACATTGCACGCAGATTTGATGGTCATTATGTCATAGCTGAGAACCCGAAGCTGTCCGATTATGTGAAAAATATAATATCCGAATAGAGAGTCGACTCCGCATGTAACGATACCTAAACACAATATATTGTAGCCCTCGTATATGTACGTTAGTGTATAGAGTAATCCACCGGGAGATATTTCCCATGGATACAGAGCTGTCACCGGTAGCAGATACGTTATAGGAACGTGTTGTAATTTTTCCACAATTATTGTAATCAAGGGAATAAACAAATACATGAAGCACCCATTATAGACGAGAACTGTCAAAATCAAAGTCAAACGACTGAATCCCGTTACTCTTTTCAGTACAAATTGATGCAAATTTTCATCGCTCATGGACTCTTTATGATAATTATGAAGAGTTGTGTGTAGTTCAATTGAACTTTCTCGGTAGAATGTGAAGAGAAAAACCTGGAAGTAGGTTTGTGGCAATTTTAATAAACTTTGCTGTTGAGGGAAATTACCTTGAGGGCGATTGATACAAAACTAGTTCCCAGGCTGAATCCTTTAACCATGAGACTGATACTTGAAATATTGGCAATAGCAAATCGAAAAAGCATGACGCTGAGTGATGTTGTAGAACTTATAGCGATAATAGGTAGAGCACGATAAAAAATTGTGGAATTTTCTATTGGCCATATTCCAGTGAAAAGCATCCAATACTTCACATTGCGCTTGAATCTTCTATATTCCTTAAGTTTGATTGCCTCTTTCATGTTCCAGGAGTTCTTTACCTTCTGATTATTTATGTTCGCCTATGTGAAAAAGTCTGTACTGCCATGGAAACTTTATAATTTTAATAGCAGGGATGGATATTCTTCGAAACTTATGAGACTTATGAAACATTCGTAAGAAATGAAGAGTCAATTGCTTCTGATTGCTGCTAAATTAGTGAGTAATGAACGGTTTGGATTGGATATCGTTTCCTGTGATTCCATCGAGTTGTCATGCGTGACATCGACGTGTATTCGTCGATTCTTCTGGTTTCGAGGGGTATAGGTCTTAATTCGATGGGTCGTTCGGAATACTTGCTGTATTTGAATCTGAAGCGCTGCTCTGTCAGTCTTACGAAACTTTTAAAGGGGAAATCTGAGGAGTGAAAAATGATAGGGTGTTATAGGTAAGTCATGTGGACTGTTGATGTGGGTCTTTGCTTCCTTCTGTCTCGGTTTTTGCGGTGAAAGATGAAACTTTAGTGTCGACTTACTGTACCATCAGTCCAACTATTTTACGAAATTCAAGTCACTGGGTATCCGTTTCTTCTAAATTGTTTTCTCCGGACAATTTTCTCCGATCTATTTCCGGGTTTTGGTTGGGGATTGAAAAATCGGGGGTTCTGTTGGGATTGATGGTCTCATTGAATAATCCTGGTGGAGATGGGAATGGGGTTTTTGGAGCAGTTCTTGGTGAGACTTTGGAGATGAAATAGAAAAGGGAAAGATGAGACTGCGGTGGTGGGCGGTTCTGTATAGCGTGAAATAATAGACGAAGGTGTGAGTGACAAGAGGCCCTCCATGAAAATGAAACCCATCAACCTGATGGCTTTTACTCAGTGCTCCAATCCTGGGGTTGGGTAATTCAACATTCGGTGTTAATGTACGGATGACAAAAGGATTCTTTGAATTATCTGCGATGAATCATCCAGAAGACACAAAAGCATTTATGATCAGTGAAAACTATTGCCACAGGATTTAAACAAAGAAATAACAATCTCATTAAAGCAAAAGTGTAACAATTAAAATAGGATGTTATGACGCTTTCTCTTCAAATGTTTGGAGTAAGAAAAAATAGGAGACTGCTGTGTTCAATGTCTGAAATAGACAAGCCATGGTTAATGCATTTTTTTAAAATATTATTTTCATATGTACCATCAGGAACATGTCTAGGGAAATGTAGACGCAGCCAGCAGCGACGATGACAAGAGGCTTTTGAGTCAGGATAATTAAAATTGATGTTCTCAAACGTTGAGAGTTGCTTCTCTCCCAATTGCAGGAGTAAACCGATTTCGTCACCGCTTCACTCTGTTTTGGAATGTTCGATTAGAATGGCTATTGTAATTGTTGAATGATAAATAACCTCGACAGTTAGAGTAGATCCAGCCCAACTGTACAGATAAGTCTGCATTATTTTTGTTCCACTGTAGCCGAATATCAGGAGATATCTTCCTATAGAGATGCCAGACACCTGTAAATGGTGAGAAGCTAATTGCAATTTATCAATTGAGGGTTGAATGGAGAACATCTCACGTGAGTAATTTGAAATAAAACTGTACAGATAACCGTTGAGTTGGTTATGACCTGCCACAAGATCACCGGTCCATACATTCTTTGCAGCACTTTGCAGCACCTCCTCAGCACTAGGAACTTCTCCACCCATTCACGCACCACTTCCATGGGACTGTCGGATAGTTTTAAATTTCTCATTTGATAATCGAGAACTCGAAGTTGACCGACTATGTGAAAAATATAGAATTCAAACATTCCGTCGATTCCGAGAGTTACAATACCTATTGCTATCACATTATATGCTTCGTATATGTATGTCAATGCGTAGAGATATCCTCCGTCACGGGTGTGCCAGGGGTAGGCAGCAGGTGTTGGAAGTATATACGTCAGGGTTTTGACTTTCTGTCGAATTTGAGAGAGGCAGAAAAGTAATGGACCGACGATACAAAAAACACAACCGAATAGGACGCATGTGGATAAAATTTGCGTTAGAATTCGGAAGCCACTCAATTTTTCAAGGGCCAAAGGCCGCAAGTTATTGTCATTCAAGGACTTTTCGTGAAAATTAACAAGAATTGTGTGGACCTTAAACAATTTTTTACTGTGAAATTTGAAAAGGACAACCTGAAACCAATATTCGAAATCATTAATATAAATCAAGATAATTTATTGAAATTAATGAATGAATGAATAATTAATTATTACTTATTATTGTTATTTTTTATGGGAATATATGAATGCAAAAAGTTTGAAATGAAAAAAATTTGAAGGTATTTATATTAGATTCGATTTATTGATAGCTTTATCACTGTACCTTCATGGCTACTGATAAGAAACTGGTTCCTAAGCTGAAACCTCCAACCATTATTCCGATATTCGTGATGTTGGCGAAAACAAAACGAAATTGCTGGATGCATATACAACCAGTGGAGGAAAAAACGAAGAAGGGTAAGATCCGGTAGAAGAGATTGGGATCCTTGATCGGCCATGATCCACTAAAATATGCACAATATTTGATATTGCGTTTGAAGCGATTGAATTCCTTCAGTGGAACGGCTTTTACATTTTCAGAATCACTCATATCCATATTCAGTTAGTTTATCCTTTTGGAGAAGTGCACATACTCAACAAAAAAACTCCGTGTCTCTGTCGGTGGGAAAGCACCAGATTTGTGCAATATTCGATATTCATACCCGCTCCACAATTATCTCTAATTGTTCGTTGCGGAATGAGTGGATATGAACGGTTGTCGTCGACTGGTAGTCGCTATTCCATCAACTCGACAAAAGAGTTGTGTCCTAGAAAATTGAAGAGAAGTCCGCGCTTTTTTTTTAAGACAATAATTTTCTCGCTCATCAGGTAAGTCTGTGAGAAAAAAACCGCGCGGTTTTTTATTTATCATTCATTTTGCGTGCGATTCTTCATGTTCGTGGGTTAATAGTTTAATTCTTTGGGATTTCCTTTTGCGAATTTTTATTATTAATCCATGCCCGGCAGATTTTTTTGAGGCGAAGAGAGAAATTTGTGGTGGAATTGGGGCACGTCCGAATTAAAATTTGAAATGAATCAAAATATAGATATTGGTACAGAGAAAAATTTCTGGTATAATCTAAAAAAATAGGTATGAATACCAATTGTCTATTCAAACTCTACGAAATAATTGATTTATTCTTCATGAATATTACAGAGTAATTAAAATCTTTAGGAATCATTTTTTTTCTGGTTTGATTTCCGTCGAAAGCAATTTGTCTCATTGTTTCATAATTTTATTGTCTATCCTCACGATTTCATTACATTGCACTTCATAATTTTAATTCAATCTTCTCCTAATTCAATGATTACGTGGACTGACAAATTCGTGAACGATAAAACCCTCGATAATTGTTAATCATCCAAAGTTTGCAGTAAGAAAAAGTAGGATAGTGCTGTATTGAGAATCTGAAAAGTTCAAAAAAATCGGTTATACTCATGCCTAGGCTTGTGCAATTGATGTTCATGAACATACACCGGTGAATAGATTCATAGATATGGGGGTGTAATTGCAGGCCTTCAAATAGATAGACCTCTGCATGAGGATGATGCTAACGTGATATCCAGCAGATTTTTTTCCCGAATTTTCCCATCGAGTCCCATACACGTCATTCCGAAAATTATCGCACTACAATCAGAAGAGTAATTAGAATCAATTGGTACTCAATAGTCAGCTTTCTTAACCTCCGTTGTAATTATTGTTCCCGCCAATGCGTATATCCAAGTCTGTAGCAATTTCACGCTCATGTAGAGTGTGAAAAATGATATCTGCTTCAGTGAAATCGTTGCCATCTGGAAATAGAAAGCAGCAATGACGAACTGATGAAGATCCACTGATATTCCAACCTCTACCTGACTAATTTGAAAGATCAGGCAGCACAGAATGATAGCAGTCGTTACGACCATTGACAGGACAATGGGTCCATGAATCACCTCCAGTAATTTGCAGCAACGTATGAGCTTCCTGTGAATCTCCACAAGTTCCTGAAGATATTTTTCATAACCATCCCTGAACGTGAAGCACCTCATCTCATAGCTCAAGGCTCGGAGTTGACCGATTATTTGTGACGAGTGGATGGCAAAAATACTGTCAATGCTCGTTGCAGTCGAGAAAAGGAAGAAGCATCCAAATCCTTGAATCGCATAATGAAGCACATAGAGTCCACTTCCACCAGGAACATCATATGGGTAGACAGCAGGATAGGGCAGGAAATATCGAATCGGTTCAATTCCATTGCTGTATTCTTTGATTATTATGATAATTGGCATAATGCAGTATATGCCCAGGACGATAAATACAGCACACATATGAAGGATTGCCAGTACTTTGAACAGAGTGAACCTTGACAATGTGTGGAGCAGCAATTGATCATCACCCTGGCATCTTTTGAAAAGTTCAGTGATCGTGTCATTCAGCTCTTTTAGCTCTTGACGATACACTAGATAACAAACCACCTTGAATATTAATGATTTTCAATATGTTCAGTACGAATTTTGAGCGCTGAAAAGCAGACAATACCTTCATGATGCCATTCAGATAGCTCAAGGAGATGCTCATGCTTTTCATCACACTATTTATGTTGTGGATGTGGACGTACGCGAAGTTCATGGTAGCACAGGAAATGGTGAGGAGCACGGATATGATGAAGTATGGAAGAGATTTGTAGAATATGTTCGGTTTCTCTGAGGGCCATATTCCACTTATTATTGATATATGTTTAACATTTTTAGCGCATGACGTGTAACTCGTCAGGAGATTCTGCCCCATAACTCTAGACTGTTGGCTATTCACTTGTGAAGTGAGTTCGCTGTGTCGTTCATGAATCAGATCTTATTGAATTAGTAATGAAGAGCGTTTATCGTAATCGATTGAAAATGGACTGTACTCGATTTCCAGAAATGAATTTGAGAGGATTGTAGGGAATAATTGGAAAATCAGTCGTGCATGGAATTAATTGGCTCTTATAGTCTTTTGTATTTTATGGATTGGAGTTGATAGATTCACATGTCGGTCTAAAGTTTGCGCGAAGTGTGCGGCGCAGAGTGGACCTTAAATAATTTTTTACTCTGAAATTTTAAAAGGATAACCTGAAACCAATATTCGAAATAATTAATATAAATCAAGATAATTTATTGAAATTAATGAATGAATGAATAATTGATTATCACTTATTATTGCTATTGTTTATGGGAATATATATTTGAGCGTATTTATATTAGATTCGATTTATCGATAGCTTTATCACTGTACCTTCACGGCTACTGATAAGAAACTGGTTAGCTGAAACCTCCAACCATTATTCCGATATTCCTGATGTTGGCGAAAACAAAACGAAATTGCTGGACGCATAAGGTAAGTCTGTGAAAAAAAGACCGTGCGGAAAGACCGCGGTTGGGATTTTCTGTTGCGAATTTTAATTATTAATCCATGCCGAATTATGTCAAAATATAAATATTGGTACAGAGAAAAATGTCTGGTATAATCTAAAAAAATAGGTATGAATGCCAGTTATCTATCCAAACTCTACGAAATAATTGATTTAATGTTCATGAATATTACAGAGTATTTAAAATCTCTGAGAGTCATTTTTTCTGTCGTTTGATTTCCGTCGAAAGCAATTTGTCTCATTGTTTCATAATTTTATTGCCTATCCTCACGACTTTATTTAGATTGCACTTCATAATTTTAATTTAATCTTCTCCTAATTCAATGATTACGTGCACTGACAAATTCGTGAACGATAAAACCCTCGATAATTGTTAATCATCCAAAGTTTGCAGTAAGAAA